ATAAAATATTCCCGGCGTTTATGTAGGTTTCAATTAAACGCATTTTATTATATACGCCGATCGTAAAGCGTAGGGTTTTTAAATTTCAAGATTCGATGGAAACACGAAATTGCATTGCAATTATTCGGAACAGTTGCACCGATTGCAGTGGTTGCAACGGCTACCGTGCAACGACGGTATCAGGTTTCAATAAACAGTAAATAATTTAATACGCGTATCCAGTAGCTTATAGTGTTGCAACCGAGTTTCCCGAGGAAAATATATGTTTACAGGTAGTAACGTAATGCGTACAAATCGTATCGTTGCTGGGGATAAAGAAACCGCTCGGTAGAATTAACGTCGACCAATGTATCGAACGATATTTTAGTAAAATGCGTGCAACCAATTAGCCGTTTCATACGTTTATCGTATCGAGCCAATTGGAGGAATTTTTCCAGCGTTAAGTAAACGTAAGAAGAGTTTCGCGATTTCGTCATTTTTCGAGGGTGTGACTCATGTTAAATAGAAAAGAAAAGCTAAATAAACAGTGATAAAACGAATAATTTCTTGGTACATTTATAAGTAGTTTTCGATCACGATTGACCCAGCAGGATAGGCCGCAATACCATACGAAAAATTCTTCTTGGCAGCAGGTTATACGGACGGTGCTGGATCCTTGACGCTACTTCATTACACGCTTCAATATAGCTCCTCTTGCTCTATTCTACGCGCGAGAGGGTGGCGCGAATAAAGAAATACTCAGCAACTCGACAGACCTAATTACGAGCCACTAAACCTTTCGAAAGCTCGAGCAATCAATCTCGCGCGCGTCGAAAGCACCCCTTCTCGCCGTCCACACGTTTCTTTTGTTTATCCAACGATCTACACCGGTACGCGCCAAACCGTTTCCCTCCTCGCGCACCCCTCGCACCGTGCACCTCTGTGTTTTCCCAACGATTCGCGAACGCATCTCATTTCCGTAGTGGCGAGGATGCCCGAAAACAAAACTCACCCCCTTCGATCGAGCGTTTTTCGCGTTGATAAATCAGGAAAATAAGAAAATACTTGGACGAAAATTTCTCTTTAAAATAATAACAAACTCACCCCTGTGACGCCGGGCGTTCACGTGACAGCGGGCACCTAGAGGCGCCCCAGCCTCGACACCACGTGGGAATCGCGACCGAGGGAGGGATGCGTGTAGCAGCAGAAAAATCTGGTGAAAAACGAAAGGATGCTTTGTGCCTCGGCTCGGCTCGGCTCTGCTCGGCTCTTCTCGTGGTTCTCGCTGAGGGTGTTATTCAAAGGCACCCACCCCTTCTTTTTTCCCGTCAGCGCCGAAGGAAACGTCGATATACGACCGCCTGGCGATACTCTCCTCTCTCTGACACTTCCACCACAATCGCAGAGCGCATTTTCAGGCGCGTTCAGGCCACTACGGCTAATTACCAACCCCGGCCGGGAAGACGGGACGAGCGCGACCCTGAAGAGAAAGCGTTCCCTTCGCGGCCGACAGAGACACTGAGAGCTCGCACATGCGCTTGCCACGCGGACGAAGACGGATAGATGCGTGGTGGTGGGGGAGGGAGAAAGAGAGGGACGAATAGTGGGGAGGAAAAGGGGATAACACAGAGCGATTGCGGGCTGACGCCACAGGTAAAGGGGTGCTGCAGGGTGAAGGGTGAACATATGTACTGGTATGACCGTTCGAGGGTGAAGAGTACCGTACGGGGTTGAGGGAAGGGAGAAACGCGGGATTTTTTGACCGCTGGTAAACACTTTCGGAGGTGAAATTCTTCGAAGACTAGCAAGAAATTATGACACGATAACTTTGTCTACGACACTTCACTCGCATACGTTTCTAATAACCTTATCCGTGTACGCGTCAAATAAATGAACAAGGTTAATTAGAAATCCAAATGAAAAATGGCGAAGGGAGACACGGTTAAAGGAGGCGGCGTGATAATAGAGCAACGATGCAAGACGCGACGAGGCGCAAGATCGGAGCCGGACACGCGATTCCAGGTGTGCGATCTCGTTTCAGATAGAATTATTACGCCGACTTCGCCGACGATTAGATTATCCCAATGTCAGCGGAGGAGATATTCTGTTAGCCTCCCTCGATGCGAAACTTAAATCTCATCGATCTCGTGTACATGCTCGCGATACGAACGCGAACGCGTGACTGCCTTTGACTCTCTTCGATCCGCTCGACACGTAAATAATCGCCTGGATGTTGATGTTGTTGCTCGGTAAATTCCAACGAAACGTTTCCTACTTGAAGAGTCATAACGTACGACTTTGAAAAGTAAACACTCTATCGGTAGACCATCGATCGGTGAAATATTATAATTTTTCTTAACTAATGCAAATAAAAGTTTCTGAATCGTCCTGTATATAGTTAAACGCTCCCACCTAGGTGAACGCAAATTAACACCGCGAGCGATACGATATTCGAATGGCAAAGTCCAAGGACGATTTTGCAATTCGAAGAAACGTAACGCGACCGTTCGAAGAGACATCCACTTCTATCTTTTCCCTTTTCCAGCCGTTCGTTTGCCGCCAAGGTGGACGCGACAAGTAACGTTCGTCAACGATAACGGTGACAAGCAATATTAACGATAAGTACAGGTTCAACCGTCAAAACGGACATGCATATTTCATTGGACGCGATAGGTAACTGCAACTCTAATCCCCACACGGAATGGGACATCGGTTTTTTTCTTTTTTTTTTTCTTTCTTACGTAACCGTGAAATTAGTATGCTAAACCACGACAGATAATAGATGATAATTTGAAGGGTGAACTAGACACCTGTCCGCGGACGTGCAAGTAGAAAATGAAAACATCTTCATTAACCGTACAAGGACCAATCGGGTTAAAGCGAGCCGTGTTAAAAGTCAATGAGGAAAGAGGAAGGAGGCTCGGATGAAAAGGAAGAAATCTTGAACAACGGAAAGAACGTGGTCAGAGTGTTCCCCTCGACGCGATTACGTAAGATTCTCGTCGGTTTCGAGTGGTCGTGGCTGCCTTACGGTTTGTTGGCTCGTGCCTCTTTATTTGATTTAAAAATCAGAGAAATTAAGCCTCGTAAAACTGGCCGAGCGCTAAACGAACGAAGCGCAAACAATATGACGCGGTTCGCGTCAAATTGTCGGAAAAAGTTCAATTTAATTGATTCACTTGAGCGACCGTTTTATTCCTTTTTTTTCACTTCCACGTTGAATCGTTTCGAATTTTACCAAAGGAAGTGAGTTTCAGATATAGCTAGCCTATCGCGAACGAGCTAAACGGATGATAATCGCGGAGGGCCGACTCCGCTCTAAATCAATCTCCGTCGCTAAATAATAAGCATCGAGTTAAGTCCGTCCGAGGAGGGGTCGCTCGAGAAGACGACGGGGACGATCACGGATAATTACACGCGCGGAAATTGCGGCTGGCCCAATCTGCGTCCGGTGGTCTACGTCTCAATACACCTCTCTGCTGCTACTCTCCCATACCCCCCTACCTCTTGTTTCATCCTGTTCCTGACCTGTACCAGTGGCCGGCCACAGCACTCGCCACGCACTCTCCAGAACGCAAGAGCCCAGCCTCGATGCATACAGGATGTTCCAAAAAAAGTATATAACCATCGTGACAATACAGAGCACCCAATGCTCGAGTGACGCAAAGTTACCCTATCTGTCTCTGAAATTGATTTCCGAGCAATCTTACAATTTAAACTGAAATTCTTTAGAAGTAGAAGAAATTCGTTCGTCGATAGAGCAATTTAGAGATAGAAAATTTAATGATTTGAGACAGCCTGTATATCGAGCAGGATTGGAATAATGCCGGGGGTGGTGGGCCCCGTAGCAGGGGCCCTAACCATAGGGTTAGCTTAACGATGTTTGTTTTATACATTGGCAGCCTGTTCCCGAACCTGTAATCTTTCTAAACGAGATATTACCCGGGCCTCTCGCGAAACCCACCTCTCGCTCGTAAGGGCCCGTGGCTGTGCGGGCCCGGGGACAAGGATTCCGCGCTCGTGTGTCGAACAGGGGCCCGAAATTGGCCCACCGTGGCCACAAATTGCTGACCGTTCAACGGTTACATGGTACGTGCTCGTAGTTCAAATGGGACTTAAGACCCCGTGACAAACTGATCAAGATTATGCCCCCCCAAAAGAATATGTAAAACTTGGAAAATCGAATGAAATGAATTAATCCTAAGAAACTTTCACGTCATTGATTTACGAAAGCTTCTTGATATTTGGAAGTTCTCCAAAAGTTTAACCAATTTCCAAGTAGTCTTGTATTATTAAAATCCGAAAGAAAAGGTTAGCGTAAGGTACGACTAAATCTGGACGAGTGTATAGTCTAGCAGCTGGAACGACGATCCAGATACACACGCGTGTACACGTCTTTTTCACGCTCACCTGTGTGCGTCACATATGAAATATGTAACGTTGCATGCTCACCCCTTTATTCGATGTACTTTCCTCGGCTATTATAGTTTCCCGAAGTGTATACGCGTTCCAGCGTTTCATCGCGTTCACAACTCTGTTTCGACTATTCTTCCTACGGTAACTACCCCTTTACGTCGCCCTTTTGCTCTGTGTTTTTTTTTTTTTTCCCCCTTTAGCTAGAAGCTTCCCGAGAAGTTTGCCGTGTTTACGGATTAAGAGGATTCGCGATCGTTGAGCTTTCAGCGAGCATAGAGGGTATGAATGTTTAAACGTAGTGAAAAATGTTGCAAAACAATAAACGATCTTACTTTCTAACTTTCCACCGAACGTTTCCACGTTACGTTTATTCCGTAGACGTTCGAGAATATTTTTCTCTCTACCGTCGCCTACCGAAATTCGTTCCTCTGCCGCGAATTTCGCGAAGGGGGGGCCAATTCACGCGATTTTCTGCGGTTTCTCGCGGCCACTTCTCGTGTTTCACATGGTAGAAACTGATTTTTCTCACGACTCTTAACTTACGGGTTTCGCTTTCTCGTTCAAAATATTTCAAATGTGTTCAATCAAGATAAATTAACACTTACCGGCCGCTTTTCGTGATCACCATCTCCGTGCCGAGCTTGTGAAACTTTTCCCAGAGTTCCTTGCCTTCGAGGGTTACCTTCGGATCGTCCACCACCCCGTCTTCCTCAGGATGATGAGGAGGTACGAGGGGATGATGCGGGCCCGCGAGAGGATGATGAGGTGCCAGGGGATGCGGTGACGCGTGCAGCATCCCCGGGGGTAACGGGGGCCTAAGTGGCCTCATCGCGGGCCCGCCAGGACCACCTTGATGATGGTGGTGTAACGCTGCCGCTGCGGCCGCCAGGACGGCTGCTTCTTCAGGTGTGTGCGGACCAAGGCCTAAACCTGAGGAAGTAAGACACAATTTTTCATTTCTTTCCTTAAAGTTATTATCTACTTGCAAAATAATGAAAAAAAGAAAAATCAAGGTCCTCCTGAGACCCAAAATATTTAAGCTCATAGAAATATAACAACTATGCAAAAGACGGTTTATTACAAATACAAAAAGCCTCCGTGTTTCAAAGTGATTTATTTTATCGCGAACCGCATACTGAATACCAAAATTATAAATTTTATCTTTACTGTTCGTGATAAATCGACAATATGTACATCGGTTGGTAATGCTCGTTTACAATTCAGCAGCTCTTTAACTAAAATATTATTAACGTTTCATTTCGAACGAATTAATATTGCAATAAGTATCGCTTTTCACGTGAACTTAAATTGATACGTCGTTAATTATTAATTTCATAATTTTAATTATATCGAAAGATGACAAATATTTTGGTACCTTCGTTCAATATTTTACTTAAGATTGATATTAGGATGAGTGAAATGTGAATTTATGAAGGTTCGATTTTCCTGAAACGTTACTGATAAATCTAGGATCTGAAGATCGATACCAGCACGATAGAATCGATCATCGTACGAGGACAATTGATTGGAGCACAGATTGCTCTATTGACCCGCGAACGACGAATGCGTCAGCTCTATTTTTGGATTCGAACCAAGAATAGTGACGGCATTCGCGAGTGGTTCGCGATTTTCGAAGGAGAAGAGCAGTCTACCTTCAACAAAGTTTCAAACTTCTTGGAGAAGTTCGGCACGAGGGGGATGGGGGAGGGGAAAAGTAACCAGAAGTTTCTTAGGGGTTGCGAACTGCCGGTCGATCGACCCTTGCGAACTTTAAGCGGCTGTCCTTCAATCGTTATTCCTTAATCTCGTTGATCCTTCAAATTCGCGATTCTATTTTAAAACAATTATTCACCAAATTTAGTATTATTGATGAATTTATGAATAACAAGTAGTATTTTATTAATAACTTGTGAAATAATCTTAAAAGTATTTTGAAATAAATTAAAAAATCATTTTTAAAAAATTTCCACTATCTGTCGAGTAATTTTTTAATAAATAATTTGAAATGTGTATTTTAAGTAAACTTTAAATAAATTTTGACTACATTTTGTATGAAATTTCAAATAGAGCACATATCTATAAACACAACAATTAATAATAGCAATCTTGTTATCCTTCGATGCTTGCACAACCAGGATAATATATTCTCGGATAGATATTTTATTCATTACCATTAAATATAAATTTCACGTGTGATCACCTAAGAATCTCGTAAATTGGTCGGCCTTCTTTCAAGTAAATTGAGAATCAATAACAAGCGACGATTAAGATAGCGAGAGAGGATGAGATCAACTTTAAAATTCTAATCAGCCTGCGATGCTTTTTCGATTTTTCGATTATCATGAAATTTATCGATACCTCCTTTACCTCTGTCGTTTACCATGGCAACATCGTTACTTCAATTAACGAAATTAGCGTTTAATTTTCTAGCCGTAAAAAAATCACCTTGTGTTTGTTCTACAAACGATACAAAATAAAAATAAATAAATCTCAGCTTGAAAACGTAGAGATGGAAAGGAAAGAGTGAGGTACAACTATCTTCGTTCTTTCTATCACTTTCGAACGCTCGTGTCTGCATACTTAATTAACAAATTCTCGACCAGCTCGAGCCAACTATAGATTACTTTTTCATGCAAGCAATTTCGTTATTTACAACTGTGTTTCCTCCACTCTCGACCAATCACCGACTACCTGTTGCACCGAAAAAAACAACAGACACCACTTTTCTATTTTTTGTTCGCAAAAATTCAACTCCACCTTCGAGTGCGTACTTTGAGAAAGAAAATCTACTTTCACCCATCGTAATACAGCTCCATAGGGTATTTTTTTATTTTTTGCGAGCCTCCCGAGTACAAATCGCGATTTTCAACAAACAAGTGGTAACACGTTGAAATTATCATTCGTTACGATGCAAATCGCGATTACAGATTTATGATTAATGACACGGTTAATAGTTAACGGCACGGACACGGCTCCTGGTATTTTCTTTCCGTTTCAATCAATTACCGGGCGTAACCCGGGAAAAATGCGAAACCTGTTGGCAACGCTAATGACTTCATGATTGTTATCACATAAAGTCCGCGCGAGCCGATCGTTAAATCGATGCCGTTTATCTGTTTCGTATTTATTTCCACTGTATCTAGCGTTCTCCGAACGTTTCGCCACGATTCCTTGCCCTTTTTCATAAACAATGAGCCTCGATTTTTAAATATTCCACTTTTCCTTTCTGTCTGAGATAAGTTTTTCTATAATAATTTATTGTATTTCAATTTCTATGAAAAACACGAGAAATTTATCGAACAAAATTAATCAGAACAAATTGACAAATTCGTTCTTTCCTGTGCTTTTCCTGAATGGGTGAAAAATGAAATTCGTTTCATTCATCAAGAACAAAATAATGCAACTTGTTGCGAATCGACTTCTTTTCATCGTGCTATCGATCACATAATTTTCAGAGATACAATTATGAACAATTAAAAATATTATTGAGGCTCGAAATAATTCCACGGGTTTTTAAACGACCGGTCCCGATTTTTGGAACAGAAGAAAACACCGCGACCGTAAGTGATTATTGCCGTTCGCGTTTTATCATTCCCGCCGCTTTACTACACGTGTTAATGACGATGATTCACGGAGTGACTCAGTTTCAATTTCCAAATCGCTGTTCAGCTCGATCCTTGAATCGATTAGCAAGTATTTTCGATACGAACGCGTTCGAGAAATCAAACAAGATCCTCGAAACGAGTCGTACAGGTGTTCGAAAGCAATTTGGAAGATCGTTCGAACCCATTATAGTATTTTGGAACTTTCAATAATTACCAGTATTTATCGAAACAATTTCGTTTCATTTGCATGGATGCATTTGAAAATATTGTTTCAGCGAATTTTAAATTCAATATTACCGAAATATTATACATCGATAAATATTTGCCTTCTTCGAAATAAATATTTACTACAATTAAGTACTTTTAACGCTTTGATAATTCCACTTTCATTTATCACTTATTTCCGAAGAAAAAATTATCTATTAACAAGACGTAATTAATACGGTGTCTAGGTGTTAAGATTAATTATTTACTATTACTAATATGAAATTTTGTCTGAATTGATTTTTCCGCCAATTCGATCGATTAGATTCAAATAAACCGGGCAATTAGTAAGACAGAACTCGAATCGAGCGTGTGTCGAATGGAAAGGCAGCAGCGATTTTCCGGGTGAATCGCGGAGAACAGGGAAAATCGAGCGGTCAGACTCAGATAAATGATCGCTCCGTTTTTCACTCGGACAAATTTCACCTGGAAACCCGGACTACAATACCGGCAGCCATTAATTGCGCCGCTTTCTATCGGTCGTTCGTTTTTATTTCTCATTGGTCATGGAATACGGGGTGCCTCCAACCTATACACGATTTCCAACCTCAACCGAACACGGTTTCTCCGTAGAAAATTCCACGTACTTGTAAAGTGAAAATATTTTGCTAAACTAAACTCCATTTTCTATGAACATTAACCTTAACGACGCTCGTTTGCACGTTCAAATAACCTTCGACTAATTTAATCATGATAATTTACATTAATTTATACAAATATCAATCGTAGACTGTGTTTAATGATTACAATCGCAATAGTTTCTCACAGAAAGCGTTGTTTTATAATAATTCACGACAATTGTCTGTTTCGACGTATTCGAGGCAACGAAATGCAACAGAAAAGTGGTAGAATGCTTACCATTGACAGGAAACGATAATTCACCAACCACATGCTCGAAACACGTTGTCTAAGTCGAGAAACCAACACTGATCAACGAAAAAACAATAAACTACGCGATAAACTACATTATTTTAATCAGAATACCGAACAATTTCGCAGCTCGTACGTGCACGTTGCGTCAAAACCCGCGGAAAGTGAGGAAGATGGCGCTGCTGTCGCGCGATTGGCTAACCATTATGGCGGCACTATTCAAATCCGAATCTAATAGCGTTGTTACAAGGCAGAAATTAAAATGTGCAAATAAGAAAAATTAAAGATGTTAACTTGCCTCCTATTATTTGTTATAAATACTTATATATATCTAAGACTTCTTAATAGTCTTAAGAGCCCCTCTGTTAAATTTATTTTAAATATTTTTTGTATCAACTTTAAATTCAATTATCTGGAAAAGGAAGACTCCTACAAAAAATTCTTATTCCACACGTTCAACGTACTTTATCAAGAGGAATCGGCTGGGTGCAGTTTTTAACGGTGAATTTCAAGACGTCGGGCCTCTTTTCGCCCTTTTCCCTCGGTGTCGGCCTACGGGTTACGCGACCAACGACACACCACGAATTTCGAATGTAGCGAACGTCGGTCATGCCCTTGGCAAGATTAATTGCCACGGGACTGTGGTCAGTTGGCTGGCAGCCTGACTAGAAAAGAGGAAGAGCCGGAGAAATGACGGGAAAGGCGAGCAATAACAATGACGGATTACCCGTTGTCGTTGACGGTCCAAGAAAAGCGCTACCGTACCAGGTTCAATGAAAAATTGTCATTTTGTAACATAAGATTTGAGTACAGAATAATCATAATTCATTCACTCTTATTTCTTCGAGATATGTTAATTTCTTTTAAAATCGCATTAATAAAAGATTAATTTTCTAAATCACTAAAAGCAATTTCTACTCTAATGGATTCGTTCGCACGAAGCGTATCGGGTTAGCAATTCTCGGCGAGATCTGTAGGTGTTTTATGTCTGCTAATTCAACGACGTACATTTAAGTGGATAAAATCGCCTAATCGAAACGCATCGATAAATCCCCCGCGGTTTCGCACCTATCGCCTCTGAACAACCATCCAGCGAATATTCTTTGCACGTTTCGAGATACCCGGGGCGAGGACATCGCCGTAGAATGCAAACGGGCTACAGTTTCAGAGAAGAAGAAAATTCTTCTAAAACTGACCATCTATCACCGTGATTAATTAATATATAACTTGCATGTACAACGATTTGACGGTCGGTCTCGTGTATTCGTGATTTTTCATTATATTATGTACTAATTATAATTTCAAAATTAGTGGTTTCGTAGTGAATTATAGAAGCATAGTTCAGAGGGAAAAAATGTTCGGATCTGATTGAGCAATGGCTGTAATAACGCAGGAAAGACGATAAGATCGAGAAGGTGGTGTAGTTAGCGAAGAAAAATCCTAGATCCTCGCCGGCAATAGATCACGACTCGAGTCGACAATAATGCAATCGATCTGCCGTATCTCTTTCGAGGAACAACGTTTTGATATCGTTTCTAGGACGCATTGTCTCTGTTCAATCGGCGAAACTGATGCGGATTTCGAGGAAAAGGCAAACTAATCATTTCAGACTGATATATTCGATAGATAATGAAAATAACGGAACGATCGAAGTTCCGACAGAAGACGTTCTTTGATGACTTTCGATGGAATCCATAAAAAAAAAGGCTCGCGAAAGGAAGAGGGATACAATGTTAACCGCGTGAAAATCGTGGTGCGTGGAGAAACGATTTTCTGCCTTATCGTCTTATCTGGCATCTCATTATTACACACGTCCACCTCATCCGTTGCAACTGGTTATTCCCTTCGTTAACTTCAATGATGAATTAATTCGCCGCGCCCGTTGACACGCGTTGTCTTTCAGCGAGCCGCGGCGAATGGAAACTCGATGAAACAGCTGGATTCCTCGGCTCGGTAGCTAGAATTCCCGGCGATTCTTACTCTATCCTTTCCAGAAGGCAACACACCTCGATTTGTTGCTAACGTGACGAGGCGAGATTGTAACGTGCAACGAGTGTTTCAAGATTTGATAATAAAGTTTCGCATAATTGTACGAGTGTTTGAGAAATTAATTGCAGCAGAAAATCAAGAGTTAACTGATACATAAATTTTCACATTAATTTTACCATGCTTTTACTTGTTAATTATAAACGATTTCATTAGATGTTTGCCTTACAAACATTCTCAGATTCCTTTTATTCTAACGTGTACACGAATAAATTATTTTATTGTAGTCTGAGGTTGCGTTCCAAGAGGAGGAAAAACTAAAGACTTTTCCCGTCGGATGCGTTGCGTAAGACACGCGAAAAACGTCATCACTTCCGGTGGACAATGATAGCGCCAGCGTTTCTAAGTTTTTGATCACAAATTTTTAAGACACTGAGTAAATTTTAATTAACATCGATTGAATGGTTCAATTTTGAACAATTCCATTCTATGAACGAATGTACACTAACATGGGGTGACGTGAACCTCCATTTTGTATTTCTTGAACGCTTCATGGCGAAAATGAGCGCTTGAATTGTGAATTTTGACCTGAGATTTATTCCGAGCAACATTTCAAGAAGAATATTTATCAAATTCAATTCTTGCCTTTCCTTTATTCTTTAATTAATTCAATTAATGATTCTAGAGTAATGGGAGATGTTAGAAAGCGGGAAAGTCGATTTTCATTTGACTTTCATTGACAGCTGACAGAAGGAAACGAGGAACATTTTGCGAGTAAAATTAATGAATCACCGATTCGAACAGGTGAGAGAGCTTTAGCTTTAGTTACACTTTAATTGACAGCTGACGCGGTGCAAACGCGAGCTTGCAATCGCGGAATTAATGAATTTCCCTATAACTTCAAGCCGATCTGTCGAGTTTCCACCTTTAATTTTATTTTAATTGCTACCTAACGCGAACAGATGCGAGCTCATGATCGTGGAAATTAACAAGCACGCAAGTTCGAGCCTATTAACAGCCAACAAATGAGTTCCCTTTCGATTTTCAATGCCGATAATCAGAAAATTGATCATTCTTTCCGTTGTTAATCGATGGAAGAAAATGTATACAGCTATCCTGACCAAATCAAGAAGAATCTCTTAAAAACATTGCAGGAAATTAATATTTTCACCATTTTTTTATACAGAAGAACACTCTACGGTAATTAATGATTAGTTAATAGAAAATTATTATTATACCGAACATTCAGACAAAAATTTTACCTTGCTGCACACACTGTTCAACTCTGTATCATAGAAAAGCTGGAAAGATTGCTCTATCACTTGCTAATCACCACCGAATAGCTCACCCCATATGAATTTCACCTGATCGTCGTCCAACAAACGTACAGTACCAAGAAATCGCGTAATAATTAAGCATCAGCAAATGGAAACGCATGCAAACGATCTCAGCTCGCGAACCAGTCACCGTCTAACCGATTTCCGATGAATCTCCGTCGAAATTCACGATCCATGGATCGTAGCGACGTCTAACAACGTCGTCGGTAGAAGATTGACAGCCGTGGTTGTCTCGACCAAGTGAAAACACGGCTGACCACGTTAACAAACCGATCGGAACTGTAACCTCGTGGAAATAAATGTATCTTGCCATCGGCGCCGATGAATAAACGATGAAACGGTTCTCTCGCGTGCCGAGCGTGCGTCTCCTGGGATGATTAGCTATCTTTTTCGTAAAATCCAGCAAACGCGAAAAACGAAGAAGATTAGCGAGGAAATTTCAACGTTGATGCAAGCTTTCAGCCTTTAGGCATTAGAGGGAACGGTGTTGGAGCGGGTATACTTGGTACAAAATTTAGATGATGAGAAATAATATGGCGTGTACAATGATTCTTCTGGACAGAGGTCAATCTACAAGGTGGTACAAGCGAAAGAAAATTTTTCTAAATGAATTATATCAATATTGGATCAGCCATGAAAGGGGAATTTTCTAAGACCCATTGCTTGATTTTTATTAAAAATTTTGAAAAGTAAATACATTCTACAGATCCATTAGCGATATTTATAAGCGAGACTGGACTCCCTTTCCTCAAAAACCAAGTCTTGTACTTTTGATACGTGGAATCTATATTTTTTTTCTTCATACTTTTTATACGTTTCGATAAAATCACCGATAATTACTGTCGTTTTAAATAAAAATTTTGATGGGTCTGGTGTTGAATAAAATTTTGAAAATTTTACGAGGAAGATAACACTTTGCACATTGTAGAATAAAGGAGAATTTCAGTGGCAAGTGTTGCAAACGATAAGTGGAACTTTATCAAACAGCACCTTGTCGCTCGTAAAAGCCTGAGAGATAGGCTAATTAAATGTCAGTCGATTTTTCCATTACTTGAATATCTTTTTTTCAAAGACACTCGGGGAATCCTGAAGCCTACAATTTCAAACGCGTAATTTTGCGATAACTTGTGCGATTATGGTAGAAAGTTTCTACGTTTTGGTGAAATTTTGAAGAGGATGGTAGGGGGATGAAGGTCAAGCTGAATTTTAGCCTTTTTGCAATATATTCTAGCTGTTAGAAGATGGTCGAAACATTGTTAAGATAAAAAACAATGTGAATTTCTTTCCAAATTACCCGCACTGTGTTGTACACAATTAAAACTAAATAATTGTTGAATTGCATATTATAGAAACAAAATAAATGTCATAGAATATCATATATTGATTCTATTTACCTAATTTATACAAAATTCAATAGAAAATGTACAGAAATGTGTAGTAAAATAAAAAGTGCATTGCTTGATGAACTGCACTTGTTAAAAACAATAGTAAGTTCAAAGAATGTACAATTTCAATTGCTTGTACAGCTGTTAATGAATTTTATATAAACAAATCGATGTTAAATAAGAATGTTTGAGAATTTAAAAGAATCATAACCTTGTATCATATATTTAAAGACCATATAAACGTGTTTCGACCATTTCCTACCCTTAAAAGCACAGAATTTTTCAAAAATCACCAACTTTCCCAATGTAACTAAAACAATTCAAATTTTCCTGAAAAATTTTTGAGATATCTATGGTGGTACAGCAAGAACGAAGCTAACCTGACATTGTAACACCAGAAATTTCCAATTTTCTTTCCCTGAATCTCTGATAACCAAAGTATAAAGAAAACCACGACTCCAAAAAATAAAAACGTTAATAGTTGGAAGTAGGAAACGTTTCCAGAAACTTTACTCTCGATGGCAATGGGAAGATCGTGTTCCTGGATCTTCAATCTCCGTTCGGAGTTGTTTGTTTACCAGACACCGTTTGAACAACGTCGACGTGAGATGTTATTTTCGACAAGAATCGACGGTTTGCCGAGTGAAGCGTCCGCGTGAAACCGAGATTCCATTTTCTCAACCACTCGAAAAGCCGGAGCTAAACACTTTGCGAACGTGAGTTTACATCTCAATCTAGACGGCGTGAGTTAACTGTTACTGAAATCAGCGGCTTTCAACGAAGAGCCGCGATTCTATTTGTCTTAACACCGATTAACTCTGTCGGCGAACAGAACTGGATAGATATTACGACAACCCGTGCTCATTGATACGTCTTATCGATCTACAACCTGTTCCTCCCGTTGAAAATACTCGAGATTTTCCTTCGTTCAACTTTGTACTCTATCATTCGATCGTCCTTTCAAGAAAACAGGATTTCTAATTCTAAGATTCACTTAAGAAGAGCCTATCCCGATCATCAACTCACAGTTTCTCCAGCCGATGCACTTCGCTGGGAACTTTATTCACCGATCAACCCCGAAGAAACCTATTTAATTTCCTGTGAAATACAGCTTCCCCGATGTCAGCAGCATTCTATCCCCCTATAATTCGTGTCACTCGTTACGAAACTTTCATCACCAACGAAGCAACGATACTGCACTTTGCACTAAAACCTATCCATCCTCGTGATACCTTCGTTGCAACCCTAAATCAACCGAAAGCAGGCATCTAACATCTACAAATCAGCCGGGAGACGCGTAACATCGAACGTCCCTCGGGCAGAACACAGCCGTGTATCGTGAACACTTGTTTCCGTAAACTCTGACCACCAAAATGAAATCCTACTCGAGGTGTTTCGTTTAGTTTGACCAATCACAGTGTCGTCACAGAAAACACTCGAACGATCCGTAAAGGTGTTATATCTCACTGTTATCGCTCACCTGGTGGCGTGATGCCGTGCGGGTTCAGATGGGGATGATGATGCGCGCTACTGAGGATCCCTTTTCCCTGCAGATGATGGGCCGTCGGTCCAGGCGAGCTGGTCGCCGGCAAATGGGCGGCCGGATTGTAAAAACCGGCGGCTGCCAGGGCGGCAGCGCTGAAATAGCTAGCCGCGGCAACCGCCGACGACGGATGCGACAATTCCCTTTGGCTAGGCAACGGTGGCGGCGTTTCCGGTGCGGCAGCCGGGCTACCGGGTCCACCGGGTGGCGGCGACGCGCTACCCTGGGACGAGGAACCACCTAGGATCGGCGGATGGGTGCTGGCGGCGGTTAACAAGGAGGAAACGCTAAAGTCCGTCGGTCTCGGGGCGGCTGGCGCGGGCAGGTGGCCACCGGATATGTGCCCGTTCGGGTTGCTGGACGGTGTGCCAGCGATCGACGTAGCAAACGGCGAGTGCTGATTCAGAGCCGTCGCTGACGCGGGGTACGCCATCCCAGGCCCCCCCGCCTCTGCCCTCGGCCCCGTGTTCGCACCCTCGACCACGTTAGTCTCCAATTCTCGTCTACGTCCTTGTCCTTCGATGTCCTTCGTGGAGGAGTCCACCTCCTCCTCCACCACCTCCTCGAGCCGTGATCGCTGCTGCAGCGCGGAGGGTTGCGGAGTGCTGGCGCAGTGGGTACCCCTGCACGCTGTGTCTTGTTCGAATCTCATCGAGACGGGCGGGTATGCCGAGTCGCGCGAGATTCCTCTTCGAGTGACTCAAACCGAGGTACTCAACACCTTCTACGCGCTACTTCACTCTCTTGATTACGTTCACGATACTTCTTCTTCGACACTACCAGGGTATCGTTCTATGCTTCTGTCCACTGATTCTTATCGTCACTGATCGTACGCGTCACCGATCCATGCACCCGCGTCAAAGTCGTTCGGCTGCTTCTCGGACATGTTTCGACTCCGCGTGACTCGTCGCTCCGAATCGTTCAGGAACACGATTCGGGATTCTCTTTGCGTTCTCCACGCTCCCGTTGCGATCTCTCGTTCTCCTCGAGATCCGTCGCCAGACGTACGCTCGACATCGTACGTCTCGCCTTGTGTTCACCCTACGACGAACCTTCTACCCTTTTTCCGAGGAACACTTTCCTTTCCAGCTGTCTACGATCGACGTACAATTCCGCTAACGGAGCACCGGATCAACCACGATAAGAGCACACTTTCCATCAACTGGACACACTGGCAGACGAATAGTCGTTGGCCACGTTTTCGAGATTCACCGTCAGGTTTACGCGCGTTTCTCTACCTAAGCGCGTACGTGTGCCTCTAGTATCCGGGCGTTCACTGTTCACTTGACGCACTATGTCCCACCGGTCCACGGGTCAGGTCCACCGTGCGGACACTTCACTTCTGAATCGTGATTTGGCAAACGGCACGGCACGGCACGGCACGGCGCGACGCGGCGCGGCCAAGCACGGCGCGACGCGGCGCGACGCAACGTAACGCGAAGCGAAACGAGGCGACCACGCGAGGGAAAGCTTGAAGGAGCGAGCGTGAGCAACACCGCCGAGAGAGCACCGGTGGAACGGAGTCCGACGGCAGGACGACACACAGGCGGAGGACAGTTCGTACGCGTAATATCCGCACGCGAAATTCAGCCGAGAGAAAAAAAAAAAAGAGACGAGAGAGATAGATGGCTGTACGGGTGCGCTTCGCTCAGCTCAGCTCTGCTCTGCTCTACTCTGCTCCGCTGTGAACCTCGGCCAGGGCTGGAGAGCGGACGAAAGGTGTTACTTGGGTGGCGCCGCGATGGTCACTGAGCAGCGCTAGGATTGACACCTCCTCTGGGGGCTCACCCCCACACCTCCCGCGGAGGTGTTGGTGTGCTAAAGTCCTCGTCCGGATTCAGGGCGTGTGTACGCGCGTCTACGTGTATGGTAACGGCCGCGTGTGCGTGTGTACAGATGAGCGGAGTGTGCCTGCGCCGCCGAACGGACGCGGGAGGCGTGAATGCTGGAGGGCAGCGACGCGAAGACTGAGACGGTACAGGGGCTCCTCCTCCCTTCCCCTACGACCGTTCCGCTACCGAATGGTGGGGGAACCTGCCTCGGCAACCTAGCCGACCGGGTACCCGTGCGCCGAACGAAGACAACGACACTGGCAACGTAGGACGAACGAAGAGGTCGGCAGTCGTCTATAGGCACCCTTCCCTCGCGTCCAGCGGGCGATAATGAGCGCTCGTAGTTGGGATTGGCGTTCCGGCGCCAATCCGAGCGGCGTTGCTCTCGACGCCTTTTCCGACGTTCACCGTCTCGCTTTAGCTTCAAACTTCTCCCCTCTGTCTCTCTTATCCCCTCTCTACCGTTCAGTTGTGCACAGCGCTCCGGATGCTCTTCCTCGTTCTCTCCCTCGGCTTGTACCCCCCACCAGCACCGGTTTAAGGGTGTTAACCGCGAGTACGCCCATTAACACCACCCTCCTCGCGGTTCTTGATTCCGAGGGCGGGGGTTCCACGGGAGAGGGGGATGCCACGATCGACGTTGCTCGAAGCTTCTCTGTCGAGAACGCGGCCGATTGACACGCTGGATTTCCACGGTGTTTGCTGCGGACGGTACGCAAACCGATGTCACTTTTCTGTCCGAGAGTGCTGGAAACAAGGTGTTTAACGCTGAGAATTTTTTTTCCAGGTTACTACTTTCGCAGACGTTTCATCGTTGCCCTTTTGATTTACGTTTTTACACCGCAACACAGCTCTTATGCAACGGTATATTTTTATTTGTACATGTCTGTAGAAAATTCTCGACAAAATTCTCTATTTAATTTCTATGTTCCCGCTCGAATGAATCATCGCAGACGATGCATTTACAGTTCAAAGTGATCCTGTACTTCAAAGTACTCTAAATAGAGAGCGTAGGTTGTTTCGATTTTTGCTTTTAACATGCCCGTGGTCGCGGACCGTGTCGGGCAGTTAAAGCAGACGGTGAAATCGTCGCCCGGGGCGCAACGCGCGTTCCGTTCGGCATCGTCAACAATTCGGCAAGCACCGGCAGCCGGTTTTCTCCATTAATCCGGAACGGCACTTCATCAGTCATAATTCAAGCCGATTGGCCGTGTCGAGTGCCGTCCGAGTTTTCCGCGAAAAGCCGAGTGAGAAATTTTCGCGAGCTGTGCCAAAATTCGCGCTAGCCAGCGTCACGAACAACATCCCACCCTCCCCGCTTTCCCTCACCCCCGTCGAGATTCATCGGCTCGTTGATATTGCCCTGCGCTGTGCACCACGAATTCAGCAACGTAGGAGAAACCGTTGGCTCCGCCCATCGCATCCCTGCCACTCGTCTCGCTCTCCCGCTGCTTCCGATCACGTGACCTTCCCCCACCACTCCGGTACAGTCTCGCGCGTTCGTTCGGCACCTTCCCCTACCAGCTCGCGGTTCCGCCTCCCCACCTCGGCCGCGAAACCTCACGGTTTTTCGTTCTCTCGTCGTGTAGACCCCTCGTCCTTCGCGCCGTCGAGTGTTAGCAAGACGCCCAACGCGTCACAGTGTTGCCAAATCCGCGAGAGCTTTCCAAGCTGCGCGCGCGACCCACCGTGATTTCCAGAAACACTTTCTGCGATAGCCAGATCGGAAATCGGTCTGCGAATCTCGACTCGTATATCGGCCCACGTCGCGTTCGTTGGGGCGCTTCCAGACAGCCAGGATATCGGCCAGCCTTATCCAGTGGGATCTTTGGTCGGGAAATTTTGCTTCGGGAAATCGTTCCTCGAGAGGAGTACTAGTTCGGATGTTTTAAGATGAACTTAAGCTTTCCTCTTGCGTCTTTAAGGCGCTGATAGGTAGATTGGTCTATCTTGAACTTTATGAGTTTTAGTTAATCAGGGCAAATTCATCAATTTTATTTCTTCAGTCAATGATTTCTTGAATTTTTTAATTTATATGTGATAAGTGATCGATAACTTTGGAATTTTGGTTCTTCGCTCCAGAATTGAAATTCTTATACCTTTAAGTAGTAAAAGTAGAGTATGCCTCATGGTCAGACGTACCTCTGTTAAGCACTAATCTCTAAATGATACAGTTTCGAATGGGGACTATCATTAGGGTCACATCGAAACCCGTTGATGCGCATCGCGAATCGAACAGTCAGTGGAAATAGAACCACGATCGATTCGATTGACTTTCTCCGTTTCGAAGGGTCGACTGCGTTTATCGACACTAAAGCTGGCCTGTTTGCACTGCAATTCTTCCATCATTTAGGATTCTCACGCTTTGAAAGTTTAACGTTAATCTTTTCGATCCAAGTTTCAGGATTTTCGTTTTTATAATACAATAACTGCAGAAATGAATCGGATAATTAAGATCTCGGTGATTGTTAATCCGTTCCTTCAGCATCGACGTTTATCAAATCCCGTACGTTACCGGCTATTATTACAAGTGTTGCGAATCGTTCCCCTGTTCGCGCATGTTAATGTGTATTGTCAGCTGTCGGTTGTCTGACAGACGGCTGTGAATGGAAACAAACGAGAATCGCTTCTCAGGTAGCCATGAATACCGTGCAAGCTACACGAGCCGTTTTAAAAGTCTCTAATTGCTCTCGACGCATTAACGGATCGACGCTAAACGTCCGAGTACAATTGTATCCTCCTCGGCCTCTGCCGACAGTTAATCCTTTTCCCCTGGCGAGCACTTTTATTTTAATATAAATTATTTCTGAAAAGGAGCTGCGTTAAAACTGGCTACCTGGAAGTTTCACTTCGGATAATTGGTCTCCCGTGAAATTGCCCAGCGTTAACAGAGAGGGAGAGAGAGATCTCGAAAGGAAAAGTAGATGTTCCTTTCTTTTTTCTCAAGCAACGAAATGTTAACCGTATAAAACACTTCTGTTCCCGCTTTCGTGTCGATCGATAACGCTTAACATCGGTTTCGCCAGTTTTAAGACACGTGGCCTTTGCAAGTTTCGCGTTCAAACAGTTGCAAAGTTCGTCGAGAGAGCAGCAACAAGCTGCCACCGGATCGCTGCCACCGCATTAAGCCGCGTTCACGCTTGAAAAAGTATCTGTTCAACAATTTCATGATGTTAATTTAACGATAAACGCGAACTGACACACTGTTTCATGATTTTTATGATGTAAGGGTAGAATCGATTGCGTTGTACGATTTAATTGAGTGAAAATTTGTTACAAGCCTGTAAGCGCCTTAATTTGTCTGATTAACACGTTGGCTGACACAATGAAATGTGGCGAATGTGGTAAGACACATTGTGATCCGAGTTGTTAAGCATACAGACAAGTAATTTTTTTGTTTCATTTGTTATTTCCATTGTATTGAATTTATTGATCTTAGCATGGGATCATTGTGACTCATTGTCAGCTACAAAAATATATTTTCTTAAATGTGAAGGATTTATTATATGTTCTTCATATGTCATATAATGGCATTTTAGTTGCGGGTTAAAATGACCATGCCTCCATCTGCCACGTCAGTCCCTGAAGATTGAAATAATTTATGAGACACGTCCAGTTTTACTTGTTTCAATGAAATATGGCATAAAGTCCATGATTATGATCGCACACATCATTGTGATCTTAATACCATTCAAGAATAACCAGTACAACCAGTCAATTACTTTTTAATGATAAATGAAATGCCATAAAATTATATTTAATGGCCAGTTGAAAGGAGATCTAGGATCGAACGTGCGAGCGATACGAAACAACGAGGCACTTTGCTCCTCCGTCCTCTTCTTTGTTCTCAGCTGCAGGCACAGGTGTTAACCTTCCAGAAACGAATGCTTAAAAGACCCTTAATCAAGTATCAATGACTCATCAATGAACAAGCACGAACAGGCTTCTCTATTATATCGTACAACTGCAATCGTCGTACTCCTGATTCATCCACGCCCCTTACCCCACCCACGAACAAGAAATCACCCCATTTTCCGTGGCTCTAAATCGTATCCGTCGATCGAGAAGTTCGAAAAACCGCACTCGAAAAAAAGGGATAACAACTTCCATTAGTCGCGCAAGTTTCGTGTCCATGCACTCGATAGGAGAGGGAATCGCGATATCGTTTTCGATAGCGAGTTGTCCAAGCGACCAGGCGATGCCGCGGTCCGTGTATCGTCGATTGACCGCGTTCAATTTCCCCCTCGTCTCGCCGCTTGTCCCATTGTGCCGACGTCCTCGGCTTCGCTGAATCGACGGCTCTCTATTCTCCGTTCGGACGATCCAAGGAGAGAACGACGATCGATGCTAGAGCGAGTCGGGACAGAAGAAGAGGATCTATTCGGCTCTAGGTGAAACGAGACGGGACGAGCGTGGTCAGGCTGAGAACGCTGGTCCGACGGGCTGGGACAAGAAGCAAAACTTCGTCCCAGAAGGAGCACACGGAGTGCCGAAAGAAGGGAGAGAACGATCCGGCCTCGAGGAGGAAAGCGCTTGAAGATAGGAAAAAAAAAAAAGGAAGGAACAGGGATGAGAGGACAAAGAGCCAGGGAGAGAGAACGCGGGAGAGACTTCGCAGCGAAGGGAGAGACCGCGAGCGAGAGAGGTGGTCATAATCGCGCAGACCGCGTCATAATCCGCGACGAAAAACATTTGACGAGCGCGCCTGGCTGGTAAACGGGCAACGCGACGGGGCGTGGCCTGAACTTGCGCCGCCTCGTCGAACGAACTTCCCCCACCAGGCGCGCTCGACGCGGTGGGGGGTTCCCCTGTGCCGCGGAACGCGCGGAATCGCTGGAACCGAGGGTGGGGGGTCTGCGAGACGAGGACGGAGACTCGCGCGACATTCGTCTGGCGACCACGATCCGAGGAGGACGGAGAAACAGGCCGCCGCTTCCTGCCTTTTCTTTCACGCGATTTTTTTTACACCCGTACCCCGTAACGTCGACGCGTTCGCGACCGCGCCACCGGGAATGGACACCTACGGCCGCCAGTGTATCGATGTTCGAACGCCGTGGTCGCGACCAAGACTCGTTGCGACTGGTTAGGGGGACTCTGAAGTTTGGCAGTGTTCTTTTCTTCTTTCTTTCGGAGCACCTTCTTATTTTCAAATAACAATATCATTTGGCCAATACGGATATTTCTATAAACAGACGATTATTTTATATCCTTTCATCTTAATCCAGTGGACGTATTTGTAATTTTTAAGTTACAAATCAATTCCAATCTTGGAACTTGGAGTTTATCTTTCTATCTGAATAATCAAACGACTCCCGTTGTCACTTGTCTTCACCTATCAGTATCATCGACTGATCCAATCCAGCGTTTAGATAGTTTTCTCACATTAATCATCCCGACGCTAATATAAAATCGCTTAAGAGGTTGCAGCATCAACAGACGATCCTGGAAGTTGGCAAGAAAATTGACTCACGGACTGCAAGGACCGAGGCGGACTGTCCGCATCGATCGGTCCTGGTAGCGCGGCCAAGTGATAGAAGATTAAAGCGGACGCGGTTGAAAGGCGGCGAAGCGGATAAGAGATCGGTTGTGCTTTTATTAGGACGCTTAGGTCTGTTCGAGCAGCTGTGGAGATAGTCACCGCCAGATATTCCGTGTTTTCTCGTATAATACGACAGGCTAAATAAGGAGTTTCCCTGGCGACCGGATCCGAAGTCCGTTTGCGCTTCTCATCGTCCAATCAGCGTGGCCTAGGCCGATCGGAAATTTAATGCCCGGTAATGATCGAGGCGAGCGTGCCTCCACGCTCGATCGAAGTAAGATCTAATGCGCAATTACCAGCGCGAGAGAGCAGTCGTTAACACTTTGTACACCGTATTTGTATCGCTCTTCTCTTCCCATCGCGATAAGTTTGTTACCATTGTGCTTGACGTATTTGATTCGAACCGATGATCCAGTTTTTTAATTGTTTCGTTTGAGAGGTACTTGTTCTGTTTTGCTCGTTCCTGGTGGTTAGGTAAAGTTAACCGTGTACGGAGTTGAGGCATGTTGCTTTTAACAAGGTATCATTAAGTTCTCATGAAGGCCAAATTCACAGATCCGTTTCCAAAATCATAGGTGACACTGGAAGACACTTTTTCATTTCATCCCTTAGTTCCTCTTCGATCAGCTTCAAAGATCACTCTAAGCACGAAACTAGCGATTCCTCGAACTCGAACCCTAGAAATCCTTGCGTCCAAGTGGTGTCCGCTCGATCAGCCGTTTTTCCGCGCGCCTATCCAACAGTCAGCTCCGCGTCTACCTGTCGCTATCCAAAGAAACGAACTCCTCCCCTCGCGGTCGTATTTCGAACGGAGATCTAACGTCCGTGGCGCATACCGGCTTCGCTGTACGTATATCGTCGCGCAGCCTATAAATCTCTTCGGCCCATAAACAAAGCTTTTGATGCAAAAGGTCGTTGCAGCATGTGCGTGACGAGCTTTACCGTGGTCGTCGTGGTCGTCAGCCCGCGATAGGGACAGGGGTGTGTGGGGATGAGGTGGGAGGGTGAACGAGCGCGAATGGAGTCGGGAATATGGATACGGAGGGGGTGGAGGATGAAGGTTCGGGAAGGGGTGCAGAAAGGGCAGGGAGAAGAGAGTTGCTGACGCTGTTGCTGAACCCTGCTGAAAGCTCTGACGGCTGAATTTAACGCCAGGGCCATCAAGGCAGCGTGTAACAGGCAGCCTTTACGTTCGAGAAACGTGGCCAGTTTTCCGCCCCGTTCTTTTGCTTTCTCGCTCTTTCCAAGGTTGTCCGTCTTCGTCGCGTTTCCCGCAGAAGCCGTGGCCTTCGAGTTGCGGATCGAACGGAAGCTGATTTTTCTTCTGCCAGCTCGATTGGGGAGGAAGTGGTAAGGTGATGTCGAGTTGGGTCATTTTGAAGGTTCAGAAATGTTGGTTAATTGGCTAATAAAATTTAGAAACGAGGATTTAGATTTCTGATAACGAAAGTTAACAGACAGCGCATCGGTTAAAGTGTTAAGCAACATCAAGCAACTACTCCGAGTGACTCGTTCCCAACGTAGAATCGTCTGCGACACTAATGAGCGTTGCGTGATAGAACTCGTCGCAGGTGAGTGCATCGGACGTCCCTACACACGCGGCGCTCCTTCCGGCCGCGCAATCTTTCTTTCCTTCGATTTTTCATCGGCTACCATGTCCACTTAGAGGTCTAACTAAAGAAACCCATCGAAACTCTGAACAGCTTCATTTTTTTCTGTCAAATAATTTCCACGTTCAGGCTCGTTTCGAAGCGCGTCGAACGTCGACCAGTTCGACTTCTTCGAAAATGGAAAAATCGAAAAGATCGTCCGTGAATATCGGCCGCAGACCGATGGCCGGATCTCGTTCAGACGCGTTCGCTGCGACAAACAGCCGTAATCGTACACCCGAGTATTGTTTACCGCGAAACGATGGTAACATGAACTGAAAACGCAGCAGCGGTGATTCCCACATTCCCGGAATAGCGTCACGCCGACGGGGCCGGCTTCCATCCCCGTTCGCCAGCAATGCCACCTTTCCCTCGGAAGTCTGTCGAAGCGACGCGACCGGCCGTAACCGACTGGATGCATCCGAGCGGACGGAAAACCGCGAGACAGCGACGACGAACCAATTATCTGGTTCAACTGGTGGGGTGCTAACGTTTGGATGAAACGATCCGAAGGGTGTATCTTGCTGTAACGAGCTGATCTTCGAGACCAGACAGACTACGATACCGTCTGCGAAAAGGTGACGAGGATTTTTCACGTCGCTCCTGTAAATTTGCAACGGATCGATCTTTACGGAGGCGAAGAGGAAAGGAAAGATGGATGGAAAAGCGAAAAAGCTACGAAGGAGAAAGGGAGAGAGTCGAGTAGGTAACCGACGAAACGGCCGGAACAAACAAACCAGCAAACAGGCGAGGAAAAAGCAAGGATCCGCCGTCTACGCGGCGCCTGCCCTCGCGATTTTCGAATTCTTCACTCGCGCGATCGGCATCAGAATGTCGCGTGGGTACTCGTTGAATGATGCCCGAGCTTTTTCAACCGAGTATTCGTTTTAATACAGAGCTAGGATATTTACTGATAGCGTTTACTTTCACGCGATCCTTTAAATCGGTAGGCTTTTTGGTCCTTCAGGAACGCGTCGAACCACCCCATTCGTATAAACTATCCTTTTCTCTCTTTCTCTCTGTTTCATTCTCTCATCCCCGTTTACCGAAACTATCAATTGATGCCGAGGTCCAAACAGAACGGCACGGTTTACACATACGCAGCTGCACCCCCGAACAGCCAGATCCAAATAGAACGGATATATCTGCTTGTCCATCTGTCGTTGTGTAACGGAACACCGGCTAATAGTATTAGAAATATATATATATATATATCTTCGACTAAACAACCCTATTGTCGAACCACTCGATCGACGCACCCCTGTCCCTCTGCAGATTACGTCTGTAAACGCTTGTGTCGCGGCGGCTTTCGATCGTTGCGTTACCTCGCTCCGATTCAACCCCCGAAAATCGGCTAAAGCGGTTCATTGTGATCATCGACACTGCGAGTGGTTGAATCACGATTCGATCGTGACGACTCGTCGCTTACGGATTTCCGGTTGATTCTGGGTCAACCCGACGGTTCTACAAAAGGAACCGGAGAGAATTCACTTGGAATAGTGTGAGATTACAAAATCGAGGACAGATTTCTAATTTGATGAAGATTTAAAAGTTAAATGGAATACAAGTATGGGGCTCTTCTGTTGAAAAATTGTTTTATGATATTCTGTTACAACAGTCCTAGTATTTCCATTGCAAATAACATAAAGGAAAGAGTACCTTGTACTCTTCTAGAATTTTAATTAGAATTTCAACAGAGGCTACGATGCAAGTTTAGAAAGAAATTTACTCGGTGTAATAGAATTTGACGCCTTTCAAACACCTTAGACATTCTGGAATTAAATTATAGATAACGTCTCTGCTTAGAAATGTTTCAATGTTAATATTTCGAAAAGAAAAACATCAAAGATATTCAAGCAGCGCAAGGTATCATCCCTTTTACGGTTGCATCACGATTACGAACGTACTCTGTATGATGGTTGATCGTAGGTTGGATGCAATCGTTGCCAATTACTCGGTTTCCCCGGGAGTCGATTTCTCTCCGAGGCACGTTCTTGTCGTGTTCGAGCAGAAAACGTTCAGTTATTCGATTCGTGGCGAGAGGTACGATCCCTTAACCGTTTTCAACGAATGCAACAACGTGAATCTGATCACGGAATAACGAGGCGAAAGTGGGAACACCTAATTGTTCGACGGATCTGTTGGCGAAGGAACCCTCGAACCGCTGATATCCTACAATTATCCGGCTACGGTGTGCCTCGGATCAGAACAGTCTTGCAACAACACACGCCGAGGGACCTCGATTGTATTTCTAGGAGGCCGGTTACCGGAGGTTAATTGAATTATCTTCTACGTATGCAGCTAGCCACCCGTTGAACCCGGAATATTACATTAGAAACTGAACGATCAACGATGTTCGAATCGATAAATTTGGTGCTGCTGATCAAATTTCTAGGAGAAAGAAGAAGATACGTCATAATATTCGAGAGGAAACACCATAAAGCAATGAAAATATTGAAGGATCTTAATTATTAATCCTTAGACTGCGGAATGGAACGCAGCTGAATTTGCCCCCCGAATCAAAAACTGTTGATAAAATTTGCTAAGATATTGTGGTAAATATTGACATAAAATCATTATTTTCAAAAGTTTTCAAAAGCGCATCACTAATTTACATCGGTTAAGTTAGGTTATTAGAAAAAATATGACTTACCTCACAGCAAACACTCGACCAGTCAACAACAGTCTCCTTGCTCAATTCAAGTTAGTGATAGTATCGATACGTATCGATAATCAAATCTTCTGTTAATAACTTATATTTAATTTACGTTTACATAACTATTTATTAACTTATGCATTACTATACATTGAGATCAATATTGCATACATTCTATATTTTTTTTTCTAACTAATTTTCTCCTTACTGTGTATACATTGTATCGATATTTCGATATTCCAAATATCGATACTGTATCGCTCATCATTAGTTCCAATTCCTGTTCATAGAATGCACAGCGCGGAGGACGCATCGTGAGAAAATATCTAATAAAACGGGAAATTGTCGTGATTAAGATTAGAATTGGCTAGCCACGTATCACTTTTAATACTTTGTTTAAATTCACACTTTGAAATTATTCTTTTCAAGGAGTCTATTGTTGACTGGTCAAGTGTTTGACGTGAGGTAAGTTATATTTTTTCTGATAACCTAACCTAACTTATGTATCTTAAAAAATACAAGCGACCCCCAAATTTCGAGGGGCATAAATACATAGAATTTACCTCTTTTTTTAATTGATTTCTCGTTGAGGCCCTAATTGTAGACATTTACCGCAATTTCATATCAATAACGCGCTTTGTTCGGTCAGAACACTGTTCCCCAGCTCACGGAAGACGAGACCGGCTCGGAAACTTCCGGAGCTATAGCTATATTTTCCCCGTGGTTATATGACAGACTTTCGATTATAAACATAAACGCAGCCTAAGGGTTACCGACGGTCATTCGAGCTCACATATTTTTATTCTCTTGTCAACAGTCTGTCGGATAACATTGGTACTCCTTAGTTCGTTTCGTGTCGCCAATGTGAAAAATTCTTGTTGCTGTTGATTGAATTTGCCATGGAACTTCTTGGAAACACAGTAAGTAAAATCAAATATTTTTAATATGATAGATAATAATTAGGATTTTAAACTAGAGGTGCCGTTCTTATGATATTTAACCTCTCGAGATAAATCTTGAACTAGAGATGGAATCGTTATCCAAATTGTCAGGATTCATAACGATAAAGCTCATCGCTCGCAGGCAGGCTTTTTCAGAATGAAACAAAGCATAGTGTGCACTAACATCTATTCCTAGGTAGTATACTCTTGAAATAGTGGCGCGCTTAGGCTGTCAGAGAGTCTAAAAGCGACGTATCGATTAAGCGGCAGCGTTCTTTGGGGGAAGAAAACGGTATGGGTTGGGAACTGAAATTGATCGTGAGCATTAACGTACTCACAAAAGCTTGCGTTGCTCACAGCTATGTCCCTGAAGGATCATTGCTCTGTGTTCCTTCATGAAAATTAAAAAAATATCTGTTGGATGGTTTAGAATATTTTCTCAGAAAATGAATTTTTTAATTTCAACGACAATGATATAAAGAAAATCCGGAATTAATTTTCAAGCAATTAGAAATTTTATAAGTGTCTTTATGGATTTATTGTACAGTTAGGAAGGGTTTTGAAATTGAATTTTTATTTTGCTCTTAATGAGTGTTAATTGTATAAGCATGTCTCCTATAATAACCAACTATCCCAAACGAAACTTGTTCAAAGCATTATTGAAATTGATTCTATCATCTGTCTTCAACTTCCAAAGAAGCAACATTCCAACAACTCAATCGTTAACAAACATCCTCTTCAGAAACACTATAAAAGGTGTACACTGTTCTAAATAGGTACTTATGTACTCGTGTGTAGCCAGGTCAATATACCACTATCCGTTCTCCAACGGTCTTCTGAATGCGATCGGGATCTGGTAAGCATCGTTTCATCAGCGGATAAGAAATGGCGATGGTTAATTAATGGATCGGCACGCGAGGAGGGCCGAAGAACATTCAGGCTACCGTGTCTCGGTTCCAGTTCCCGTTGACGCGAAAACCCTCCTCTTTCCCTTCCTCTTCTGACACGCGGCGGAAGAACGCGGTTCCTCTCGCTTCCTCTGTCCCTCCAGCTGGCCACGAATCTCGCGGAGAAGACCGAAAATCCCCCCCTATTGTCGGGCTGTTTTGTCCCGTCAGTCCCAACCGCGCAATGCGATATCTATGGGTTTCTTTTGGGGCCCTCTGCCGAAGCCGCCATTATACAGGCGGCCCAACCAACCCTCCACCTCCCCTCCAGTCCCTGGCTCTCGACCCCCCTTGTACCCTATTTAGCGATGGGCATTCAATTCTCTCTTTAACTCTCTCTCTTTCGCTCTGTCTTGCAAGCTTTTGAGCAATTTCATCGTACAGGGTGTCCTGCTGCGAAACGAGATTGCTCGAGGTTGATGACGGTTTTTGGTGTATTTGATTTTTCGATGATTAGTTGGAATATCGTAAAAGAGCTGGGAAATAATTCAAGATCCTCTCTTCGTTTCCAAAACCAGTAATGTTAATTCACATTCATCCATGAAGACTCCAGCTCCAAACGGTGCGTCTTACTCTATACCGACCATCAGCTCGAGTCTTCAGCAACGTCCATCCAATTTCATTAGAATCCTGGAACAGTAGGTAGCGACAGGTTCGAGGCCATCGCTAACCGAAGTGCCAGCCAGCGAACGTCGGGCAGCGGACTTAAAGTGCAGTTCACAGAGGACGTCAGAGCTGACGGGACAAGTCGACGCGAGGCTGCCCAGCTAGCTGTCTGTCCTCTTTCCATACCCTTTCACTGAGAAACGTGTGCGGCTGGTGGGCCACGAAGAAGACCGGTGCCCTCTCGGTACCTCTAGTTTCGCCTATTCACGGCGGCGTGCACGTCGAAAGGGATGAAAGGCCACGGGAACCGACACGACTACCGGACCAGTCTTGGACCCTCTTCGAGGCGACAGAAAGGGCCGACATCGAGCCTCCGCGCAACCTCCTCTCCCTCCATTTGTCGCTTCACCCTTTCTAGCTCTGTAAGCAGCCTAATTATTGCCCTATCGACATAGATGTCTTGGATCGGATTACGCCGACGGAACAGGCAACCATAGTCCTTGGACAACGATCCTATTTTTCGGCTCCTTTCTCCTCGATGCCGCCTCCCGCTTCTGTTGATTAATCTTTATGGGGTGCATGCCGCGACTTGCTTTCCTTGTCTCCTTCTTTGTCTCCCAGCTGCGTCTGGAAGCTTTATTCTGTGAACGTTTGTGAAAAATTTGAAGAACGTTCCGTTGATTTTTTAATTTTCTTACGGTGATCGAAGGAGTTTTGATCGGTTAACATTTTAATAGTGAAGAATTTATTATTCTACCCCCAAAGGACGTAAAATTCCAGGAAAAAGAGACAAGTAAAACTGGAGATTCTACGAATTCTTTCAGAAGCGAAAGGGTTAAATGTCTCCAAGGAAAATTCCCTTCCAATAAGGGATGCTCGATGGTCTCGTAATGTCGTCGATGTCGAGGCAACACATGAATATCTAAACACATGACGGTCATCGATAATTCAATATCGCACGTACGAGCACCCCTTTTTGTCGTGGCATGTCACGCTATAATGACGCGTCTCGTTCGTCGTGAAAATTTCATTCGCGTCGCGACAATGGCGTCGTTCGCCCCGTAAAGACGTTCTCACTACCGTTCGCGTCGTTCCTGTAATTTCCGTATATCTAATCACAGGCAATTTGATTGAAAATTAATTCGATCGAATTTGCATCGGCGGAACGGGAAAGATAAAAAGGTAAGGATCGAGGAAAAAGGGAAAACAGAGGAAGAAGGGAAACTCGAGGGCTGTTCTTTTCTATCTATAGACGCGTTCCAGTTCGCCTTGTCGGAATTTGCAACGTAGAGAAGGAGAATATGTCCCGAACTCGGGTTCCGCTTGCTTAGACCGCTGAAACTTTGCCATTGGATCGATGGAAAGTTTTCGACTCGGCTTCGCTCTCTTCTCTTTTCGAACACCTGCGATTTATACGATCCGCCTCTTACGTATTCATTCTGAAATTACGCGTATACCGTCACTAATTTTCCAATGAAACTGGGTCATTAATTATTTTCCTCCGGGGGGTTGAAAATAATTATGATTCTGAATAAAATTGTTATAAAACCCGTCCAACAACCCCTAAGATTCTTTTCATTACCCAGTATCTATAATTTCTCAGATTCATCAGGATATGTCAGAGATTTCAACCCCAGCCCCCCACGACGGGGTGGATTTCGATTCGCGAGAAGGACGGCAAATGGAGACACCCTCTAACTTATTCAAAGGCACAGAAGGTTGGCCATACGAGCGACCATAGGTGAACACAGCAGTCGAGTGGGTGGAAAGGGTGCAACTGGGTGAAGCAGACACCAATGGCGAGTCTAGGACAAGTCGGGCTACGTGGAACGTCGTGGATTTACCTAATACTCCTGTGATTCCCGTGGTGGGGTAAGTACTCAAGGCTTCCAACATTATCGCCGGCGCAAAATGGTGTCACTCGGGGTTCACCTTTCTTCCACTTTCATCCACATGAAAGTTAATACTACCGGTAATTAAAGTTAGGTAAAACAGAAATAAGTCGCGTGTCCTCGTAGAGGGGTTGTTTTAATGACGAGAGAAAAATAGGCTGAGGAGAGAGGCGATTGAAAATAATACAACTGTGTAAAGACAGCGTATACAAACTATTTATATGTTATTATTCGCTATCTTTGTAAGACTTCGATGCAAAAAGGGGTGAGTCACGACAAATTGCCGTTTTATTCCGCGACGTTGCGAAACATTGATGAGCCACGAGTCGCTGTCACCAACTTTCACCCGATCGACCTCGGGAAAATAATTTTTTCCCTCTAAAAGACGAGGGTAAAAAAACATTTTCTGTTAATTGAACATCGTCGAACGCCGACGCGAAGCTGAACGTATCAACGATACCGATAAAATTTTGATAAAATATTACGAAAACTACCCAGGAATTGTTAATTATGAGAAATTCTGTATGGGGAACAGAAGCTCGGTCGTGCGGGGATCGCGTCACGATGGCGTCCAGGGTGTTTTTCGGGGTTCCATGGGGAGGCGGTCGTTTCTCTATTGGCGCTCACCTAGCCGGCGGTTTTTAGCTGAACTGCCCCGAAGAAAGGAGCCCTTGTACACGCCGCCAACACAAAATGTTTCGCGCTGATGCACGAGCACACCCTCCGTCAGAGGAGAGAGAAAAAAAAAAATAGCGTGGATCATAATGGAAACCCCCTCTCCTGTCTCTTTTTGCCGAACGCGTGTTCCACCCCCCTTGAACAGCACGCGTGTACCATCGAGAATTTCCGAAATATATCCCTATTGTCGGCCGAAGAATGGCCGGAATTCTCGTCGCCTTTCTCCATCTTCCATGGTTTTTCACAGAAAACCTTGGTAGATCGTGTTTCCGTGATTCTTTGAACACGACTACCCTCTGCTCCCCTATTGACACGTATTTTCTTTTTTTTTCCTCGTCGATAGAATAATTTCCGCATTCGAACGACAAGAATTTTCGTCGAATTCTTCGAGGATGGTTAGGGTAAAATGTAGACAAAATAATAATGTCCATGTCTGGAACAGATCTATAAAATCCAAGAGATTTTCCGAAACTGCACGATCTTCGATTTTCGTTCCCGCAACAAGAGAAATCGCAAACGAAACGAATCCTGCCCGTTTGCCTTCCCACTTAATAACTCTTTCCTGCGGCGAGCATATCGAAAGAGAGGAGTAAAAATGGCCGTTGGGTGGAAGAGATAGGAGATAAGTCGCGGCTCATATCGGCATTATTCGAGGCCGGGAATCATGCAAATTTCACGGAGCGGATTATAACGAAGCGAACGCCGGGATCCGCGTGGATCCGGTGGCCGATAAAGAGAACACGGTTAACGAGTTATGATCGAATAATGATAAATTCCTCTTACCAGCTACCAGCTGCTCGCTGGATCGTTAAGCTCGGCCAAGCAACGTCCCACCTCGACGCGGCTGTTTCGAGCTTTTTCTCCTCGCTCCCATCGCGATTAATGTCTTCATGAAGTTCTCCAATGATACTCTCCAACAGCGAACCTTTGCCATTTTCGTTTTTTAAATCGTAGAGTGTTAAATAAAATCGCGAAGCTTTATCCAGTGATCTTTGAAAGCTTCGTGCTTACAGTTCGAACGTGGTGGATTTTGAAATTGAAAAATTATCCGATATGCAACAACGTAATAATATTCTTCGAGGCTTTCAGATCCGAGTTCGCCTCGAGAGTTAATCTAATCTTCAGATAAGACTGCAGGTAACTTCATCGGTGATCGGAGGATGTTGTGGTACAGTATCATTAATTATAAGCAATTGCTTACAAGCTTGTGAAACGTTGATAGGATCGGTGAATAGACAGGGTGTCCTATTTGTAATAACCACCTTGAATAGTTCAATCACTTTCGGTATTTTTAAATAAATTATCTTAGATTTTGACGTTCGGACAAATTTCCAGTGAATCAAGTTCGTAATTCTTTTATTTTTCACTTGGACGATGATTCAATTTATTCTTCAATGAATAAATTAAAATTACCTGAGTGAAAGAAAATTCTTAAATGGATGGAAAAGAAGAATACGAGATTTCTAGGTGCGCGTGATTTCACGTGGAACAACTCGTGTAACGTGGTGACATGTAAGGCCCCCGCCTCCCCGTCGCTACTGGAAATAACCCCTTATTATTCGAAGCACTCCCACCATAGTGTACGACCGGCAAACCGCGGTTCGCCATTACGAAACCGCGTTTCCACCGCTGTTCTTCGACGTCTGTTATTAATTCCGTGTAGACCTCGATGACGTGCCTTATGTTATAAATTCACGTCGCTGTCGGAAGGAGGAGCCGGTGAAATCGGCAGGTTCGCAGGCTAATTTCATCGTTCTCGAATGAACCGAACGTTCCAATTTCAATTAGCAAAAAATTTCTCCTACAGAATTCCGCTGCTTGTCGATCAGCCGACGATCGTAAACAGCATTAACTCGGTGAAAAAAGGTAGTCGTCGGTTGGCGAACGCGTGGCAAACAAGTCATTTCATGAATAACAAGGATGATTCCAACAATAGGGTGCAATTACAGCAGGAATAACCGGGCTGTCGCAATGCTCGCTGAAGGGCCGAGCGAACAAAGAGACTGCGAGTCCCGAATTTCGCAACGCCGCGAAACGTGACGCGGCAAAGGGACATCGGTTTGCGCTTTCCGGCCACTAACAGGCCTGTCGACGAGGGTACGGGACGTGCAGGGAGGAAGAAGATTTAAGCAGAAGCTTGTGTGGACAAGCCAGAAAATTAGCGACATCCGCATTCAGCGCTAAATCGTTCCCCGTGTTCTCCTCTTTCTATTGTCGCTAGCTCCTCGACTGTGAAACTTTTGTTAAGGCCTCGCTCGAGGGTTTTCCGCGGAACCATCGTACTTCCATGGTCCTGGCTAAATTTTACCCATTATCCCGTTGAATCGATAAACCAACGCGATTCGATCGTCGCGACATTTTTTCATTTCTAGACATTTCGGATCTTTCCATCAAATAATTTCATAAAATTCTCGCCTTGCTTTCTGTGATTAGCCAACAGCGACAGCAACAAAGTGTCCGAAGGGGGTGAAGTTGAGCCGAGACCGACGGTCCTCGGTTTTCTGGCTGTTCTGTTATTTTTCTATTATTATTGCAACGGTGGCTGGCGTTGACGGCGGTGAAGATTGTACGCCGGAGAAAGGCGCGGCCCTTTTTATTTCAACATTATCCTTTTGTGCCGGACCCAGAGAGTCGAAGGGACGGAAGCGTGGCAAAGAATTTCGCGGCTAGGCAGAGGATGAGGGGCGGCGGTGGCAAGGGAGCGGGCTTCCAGAATTCGTAAACCGGCATGAGAACCCGCGGAATGCTTTCACATAAAGACGCAACCCCATAAGACTTCATCCCCCTTTATGTGGAACGTTCTCGCCCCCAAAAAGCGCGTCCCACCGACCACCACTAACTCTCTCTCTCTCTCTCTCTCTTTGTATGTGTTTGTGTATACGTGAGGTAGAACGTACAGCTCAGCTACGGGATCGATGTTTCCTCCTTCATCGGGGAGTGTAGCTCGTGCGTAAAAACCAACCCCCAAGATCCACCCCAGCTACCCGTTTTCTTCGTTCACAGAACCAGTGTCGAGGGAAAGAAAGAGAAATCGCGTTGATTATTTACTCGCTTAGATTTCGTGGTTGAGAAAAAAAAAGCGAAAGAATTTCCATTTCCATCAAACTCAGCAAAAAGACGAATAGTTACAATTTACGCTAACAGTCGATTTTCACCCTTGCCTCTTTTTTGCTAGTAATCAGAGCAATCTCGAACACCGATCTTCAAACTTTATCTCTCCTTCGATTCGTCTCTTCATCGACGAAGGGTGCTGAAGTTCAAGGACAGAAAATGTTTCTTCCATTAACGGATTTGATTAGGATAATGGTTTCTTTTTCTCTGTATTTACTCCCAGTTCGGTGTATCTTGGTGTTTATTAGACCGTCTCGTTCCGTGATCCTCAGAAGCTGAGGGAACCAGAAACATTCTTCGAGCCTTTGTCCGTTTACGATCCGCCTGCCCTCCCAAGGGGTGGCTTTTATCCTTGGGCGGAGTGTACAGTGAGTCACGATAATATTCGCACTACCCCTACTCGTTCATTTCGAACGATCGCTGCCGCTCTCGTGCGAACGCGATGGAGGCGCCACCGACAGGGGTCGTCGATTGGATTATCAATGATATTTTGCTGCGAAACGGATTTGTGATATTTATGGTATTTCTATCGAAGCTAGACATTTCAAACGAAAGAGTTCGATGGAATATGAGAATGAAATTGAAATGGTGGCCGTTCGCAACGGTCCGCCGTCGGAGGGTTAACAAGATTCCGATTAATCGGTAGGGAGCGGGCAAAGAGGAGCCGACCAGCCAAGTTTTCCCGGCGTCCGAGTGGTCCAGATAGCCACGGGGATGGCTCCTCTTTCTATCCAGGCCCGTTCTTTTTATTCCCTGATGGCTGTCAGGAGCGCTGTTGGCCATGGCGCCACCATACGCGGCTCAGAAACGGTGGAACGGAGAAAGAGAAGGAGCTCTGGGAGCCGGCGTTGCGTCGAGAACGGACGAAAGTGCACGCTTGCTGGTCGTTTTTTAAAAATAAAATGGCGGCCGCGCCGAGCGACGTTGCAGGGGACGAAGAAAAGGGTGAAGAAGAAGAAGGGGAGAAGTGAGGGCAGGCGGAGAAGGAGGAAAGGAGAGAGAAGGGAGAGCCGAGAGAGGACCACCGGAGAGCCGTTCTGCGATTAGACTTACAAAACAAACGGCCCGCCGGTCCGGACCACGCAGACCAATGGCGTAGCACACCGATCCCGACAAGGGACACGAGATAATTGGATCAAGAACCCAGCGAGAGAGCGCCTCGTAATTTTCGATCGGACCAAGGTCGACGACCTTGACTCCCAGCACGCACCGTTTCGAAATCCTTGCGGATAGAATGGTCCGGGATCCTTGCCATTCGACTTACAGCTACGGAAGCTTTCGATCGATCGGGTTATCTCCTTCCTACTGGTCACCGATTGTCCAACTTAAGAATTTCCAAATTTATTTTTACATAGAAGCTTCCTTAAAAGAATACAGAAATCTTCAAGTAATTTTAAAGAGTTAATAATCCTACGCTAAAGCACCCTCAGATCTTTAACCCCACTCCAGATTACCTCAAAATTGACACCTGAAGTTTTCCTCTCTAATCCAAGTCCACCCCTAAGTCTAAGACTAAACCACCCCAAGACACTGGAACAGAAGGTATACCCTCGCGACAACGACACACATTCCATCCCTCTGGTGGCCCAAATCGTCGTCTCTCGCGCGATTAAACCAGCAAGAAAAAGAGGTCCACGATCGTTGGTCCGGGGATCGAAGCAGAAGGTGGCTCTCCACGACAACGTTAACTCTAGGTGGTGCACCCTGGAGAAGAGAGGGGTAGCAGAGAGAGAGAGAGAGAGAGGGGGGTAGGGTGTCCACCTCCTAGAAACGCGTAGTAGCCTCTAGCCTCTATTGATCGAACTGCCCTGGGCTCCAGTGGAGTGGACTGGACACACCAGCGGCAACCCCTAACCTAACCATCTCCGTAGGGTGTGTGTACATGTACGTGTTTGTCTGCACACGAACTACGCTAGCCGAAAGACGGCCAAAACGATCCTCGAGGCTGGTCATCCCGGGGGTGGCGGGACACTTGGACGCGTGGCTGGAAAGCCACCCCCTCCTGGTTCTACGAGTTCTCGCACACGGTTGTGTGCGACCGGGTAACACGTACACCCACGGCTTTATTGGACCCAGCGGGTATTGAGCGAAGGTGATCGCCTGGTAGAAAGCGAAATATGAAATTCCACCGCACACCGTTGCATCGAAATTCGTCTAAGAATCGATTCGAAGTTGAATTAAACGTGGCGATGGATTTTTCTACGGTGAATTTAATGAGGAAACGGTCGCGATAAATTCGAACACCGTTCGAACAAAGAGCCACGATGAAATCGAGCCGAAGCGTGGACAAATTATGATCGCTGCCGATTTGTTGGCTCGACGTTGGTTAACCGGCTGAATTTCAATTGCACGCGCCGCTCGATTGAGCACGAAAAAGACAAACAAGCTGGTAATAACGCGGCTCCGAACCGATAGTTAATGGAACTGTCAACGATATCGCATTATAACTGGAATTGTCACGCGACAACCGCGTTGCACGAACCACGGATTTTCAAGCAACCCCTCCGCCGCCCACCCTTCGTTTCGATGAAATCGATCGTACGATTAATCGACGAGGAGGCAGATAGAAGGAAAAAAAAGCTTCACCGCTTGTCGCGTGATCGCGAATTTTCCTCTTTTGCCCTCGCTGAGGGAAAGCCGCAACCCCTGCGAGCTTTCGAGAAACCTCCGAGGAACGCGAGTTTGTTTTGCCTTTACCCTGGGAAAAAAAGGAACGTGACTAAGCATTGTTTGCACGATCGTTCTTGAGTGGCCCCTTCGTTCCTCTCTCGTCAAATAAAGTTTCCTTTATTTTTCTCGTAGTATTTTCATCTTTGATTTTCAAATTCCACCGTTCCCGTTAATCGAAGATGAATATAATATGCGATAAGTCGCGCGGATGTAAGAAATCTCGTGGCAGAATCTGACGGGCCACGGAACAGCGACAGGAATTCCGGTGACTTTCTATTCAAATATTATCGGGCATAGTCACGACACGCGAATCACGACCGCTGGAATAGTTCATTATGGACAGTTGTATGGTAGCGGTTGCTGCACCGGAGGCGATCTATTTGCCCATGGATACCGGTTCCCCGATATCTTACCACTCGGATAATCGCTCCGGATCGCCAGCGTGTCCGTACAGATTAAAGGAGTGTTCCCCTGTCGTTGATCTTGTTATTGTTTAATACCGGCGGCTGGGAAACAACAGCGGTAGTCAACTTGTAGTTGTTCGAATCGGTGTATTGTTTATTATACAACAGGGAGAAATAATACCTGAAGTCAATATGCGAAATAACATTTGCTCATAGGCGAATATCAATTTTTAGTTTTAGAAAAATTGTGGAAAATTGAATTTAGAGAAGTTTGAAAGGGGTGAGAATCTCGCGATCGGAAAACGACTAAGGGGCCATTATCGAATTCACTTAGAGGGCTCGATCGACGAGGCTATTATCGAATTTACCTAGCGTGGCCATGGTAGGCAAAGTGCATCCACGACATCAAGTAAACAAGGTTGCAGCTCGTACGAAGTTAGCCGTGCACAGGTATGCTGGCAAAATTCGGGCCAACTTGCCATTATCGTGAAACAGCATTGTCCCGTGGCCAACGTGGACGTTATTGAATCGAATTACGAGGAGATCGATCCTCTGCCAACGATTTCTTTCCTATAAAAATGCTAGAAGAAAGATTTTAAACGATGACACTATACGATATTGTTCCAAATTGACCCATGACAGTGTGAATTCTTCAAAGTCTATTTAAATCCAACTCATAATTCCATAATTCAAAATTCTTCTTAAGATTTACAAGAAGAATAAATCAACAAATCCTCGTGTCGTGTCCATTCCTCTTTCCAAATCCTTCCAGAAAAAAGTGGCGTTGTTGAACAACCCCGAAAGGCGCATGGGGGTGCTGTAGGAAACACGCGTCTACGTCCCCGTATCCAAGGGTCGATTTTGGTCGTACTCTGGTCGATAGGAATGGAAGATGCTAGGCGTCCCTTCCAGGCGCCTTTCCCGTCATCTATCACTCGTCGCTACTCACCCCCTTCGCGTCGCGAGCAAGAGGGACGCGGTTGGGAGGAGGCGTCGAGCCACGGGGTCGTAAGTCAACGGGGGTGGTGGTTATCAGAGCGTGGAGGACAGAGTCCGTGGAAGCTGCCGCGACTCCTGGACGTTTTACTGGACCGTGAAAATCAAGGACGAAACTAGGGATCTTGTACCTTTTTTTATGCGCTCTTGAATTTTCGATGAAACTGAAGAAATATGTTAGCGACAAAATTAATTTTCTAATTAGCGAGAACTTCTAACAATTTTCAAGAGAACCACGGTGGAAATGAAAATTTTCCAGGAGGTTTCTTAGCCACGATATTTGGAACGCGACCACTGGGGGTGACAGAAACATTTGCGAGGGTTGTTTTCGTGGGTTCGAAACGAAGTTGGTTAGTTTCTTTCTGTAGTTGGTTTTGTTGATGACACCGACGTTGTAACCATTTATAGAATTTAAACAATTGTTTCCAAAATACCAACCCCCAAATATCATCCCTTTCTTGTAAGATGCGTAATAGTAATGTTTTCAGAAACGAAATGTGATTCGATCCAGGCGAATGTTTAAACAAACGAGCAATTATCTTAACTCGATCTCGGATCTTCAGGGTGTCCTGATCCTGAATTATCGGCCTCTTTCTTCCGCAGGTTAACTCGCCTTCTTCTTCAGCCCGCTCTCCTTTCTCTTTCTTTCCTCTCGTTAAGGCCCCATGGCAGGATCGTTCGGGGTTCCGAAGATGTCGTCGGCCCCGACCACGTAAAAAGCACCCGGGGACACGCATTTCATTTGCTCCTCGTGTTGAGCGTTGTCCTTCTTCGTGTTCTGTCGACCGCAGCCCCCTTTGCTAACCGTGTTCGTGCCCTATGGGGGTTACTGTATACATCTCGAAGATATTTCTCATTAAAATTAAATTTTCATATTTTCTATTTAAATTTATGACACCCTTCAAGGATTCAGATACAAAACAATCATCGAAGTATCCAAAACAGACAAACTCTCGCTTACAGATCCTGACGAGATCCAAATAAAACATAACGTACCCTGTTTACCTACCCTACCGTACCCTAACGGTCCACCCTAATTCTGTTCATCCCTCGCTCACGCGAATCCAGTCCGCAGCTACAAACAGCTCAATCAAGAAACCGTAAACAACCGAAACGTAGGATCAGGATCAAGTCCCGAGGGTGAAAGAAGAAAAAAAAAAAAAAAAAGAAGAATCATCTGACCCGATCTCGACCAATCCCTATGCTCGACGAGTAGTCCTTCAGCGAACGAGTGTGCCGCAAAAATCGACGGTGACATAGATTCTATAAATCCCTTGTAGAAGGAAGAAGGCTGACGATTCGAGAAACCGGGTCTCGCATTCCACGAGATTTTTTGCCGTCCATAGGAAGGAATTAAAGGATAACGCTACGCGACGAATCCTTTCTACCGGCTTCCCTTTTTCTTCGGTCAGATCTACGGCCGGTTGGCCATAGGCTGGTACAATACTATTGTCAGAGGAACAGAAGGAGGATGCGCCGAGCCAGACAGTCGTAGAAACCATTTCGCGGACGGTTGATAGCAGGACAATAAACGAGCGGTAACCAAGCGGACAGGCAGAAGTAGCGAGAAGGTTCAAGCGGGCAGGATCTGTTTAACGGGATGATCCGTGCGGAAAAGAAAGGATCGCGGCCGACGTCGATCATTTTTCCCAGCATTTCAGGCCTAATTTCCTTCTGACAAAGAGAGCACCCTGCGCAAGCTTAACCCCCGTGGAACATTGCCCTGAAAGCAAGCTTGTATTCGAAAGCTGGTGTACCAATTACAGGGTCGTACTAGAAATATAATATTTCTTATCTTCCTGTTTTCGAAGATTCCACCTTGCCGTGCGATACTTTTTGTCTAGTCGAGCGAGTACTGCGTTCGAATATCTTCAGCTTCGTCCTCTGAAGCGGACCACGGGCTTCCCTCTTCCTATTTCCCTGCCGGAGGACTCTGTTCGAAGATCGGCTCTCCTTTGATGTCCCTATCGCGTCCTCTTTGTCTTTGGTCCGCTCGTACCTCGCTTCTAACCCTTCCTACCTTCCACTTCTGTCTCGTGTGCCCCTCTGTCGTTCGTTTTTCTGTGTCGCGCGTGCGTTCCCGATGATTATGGTGATGCCGTGTCCTCGTGCGTGAGCTTCTTTATGGTTGATTGGCTCGACCGTCGACGTATATTGCCGCGAACGGCTCGGCACCGCCGCGATAAAGCGCGATCACAGGACTGCTATGGGAACGCTTTTCAAAGGGACGTCACTTGGTCCGATTATAGGGATTCTGAATTGCGAAATGGTGAACTTTGGTACGATTAGTACGTATAATTCTTGCATCGATTCACGCTTCTTGAAATTAATAAACTACTTGTAATTATAGTTGATTTTAGACTTATTGAAGATCGTAGGTTATTAATCTAATTGAATATTTTAAAGATTTAATTAATCCTCGAATTAGTCGTCGAGTATTTTCAAGAACATGAAAAACACGGTTCGAAGCATCCCGAGCTGATGCTACGAACAACACTCCGTCCATCCGGAAATCGTGAAAACATTGGAAAAGAAAGGAGCTCTTTCTTCCGGAATCTCGGCTAATTCCTCTTCTGAAAGTTACACGGATGATCCATCGGTATACGGGCCATTGTGCCGCCGAAGGGATTTGCGAAATTCGAATAACAAGGCCAGAGGAGTGTTTAGGACGACAATAGTAATGGATACGTTTAATCCAATTGCCGCGGAATGGGTGCCTGGGCCTGTGCCGACAATGACTAAGCAGTACCCAAGGCGGAGCGTGACAATGTCGAGAAATATTGGATAAGCGTGACGGGCCAGACCTCTTGGCCAGGTAGACAGGCGACACGCTTAACCAATTTCGGGGAGAATGGGGTCTAAATTTGCTTAAAATTAGGCCTTCTTAGGCGCCCGTTTTGCCCGAGTGCTCGCTCGATGACCGTCTTTTGCTCACCATTGTCGCGGAAACCGAGACCACTCGAGACTTCCTTTTGTGACGAACGGAAAAATAGAAAAAACGAATTTGGAAACCTGAAGGATCTTTTTCGGTAGAACAGTATTCGCCTGTATCTTGTCCCTTTGCGGACCTGTTTAACATGTTTCGAATAACAAAGCTGGATTTGCAATGAATGGTTCAGAGATTTCACCATCTGAATGGATGATACTCGAAAGAAGACTATTTTTCGAACCTCCGATGAATGTAGTTATTGGAAACCTCTATCGGCAAACGCAACTATCCAATTTTACAAAATCATTTTGGAAATCATTTTGGTACCCCGAAAAAGGCAGCACACACAGTCGGTCTTGATCGAAGAGTAGACCGGTCCCCGATCAACGATCGCGCCGATTTATTCCGTCAGAACGACGAGCTGGCTGCCCTTTGTTCTCGGTGACTTACATCGATAATCCCGCTCGGTCCCGACACGGTGGCCCCTCCCGCGTCCCTCCGTCTCGTGGCGCAATATCTCGACGGCGAGGCCTGTGGCACGCATAAAGGCAGCAACGGCCCCTCCGCTGGGTCCAGGGCTTGGTGAAACCGGCGCTTGCTCTCCTCTCTCGATCTCTCCGTCTCGCTCTCTGCCGGTTCACCGCCCCCTCGCTGCCCGTCCGTGGCTAACAAGAGGATTCACCATTCACCTGTCACCGGGTCCGAGGGCGGTTAGTTATAGTTTATTTATCGTTTCCACGTAGGCTGGTGTTTGAAATACGTTTACACCGCTCGTATGTTCACCCTTTCTTTCAGTGTGGGTATGGCGCCGGCGTGTGTGGTCCGGCGCATACCAGCCACACGCGGCACGGACAACTATTGTCCGAGCGTGGTGCAGCGTGCACCGGTGCAACCCGCGGACAGTTGCAAGCCGCGCGGACCGCCGAGAGATGTCTTAAGCAGATTGGCCAGGACGCGCATGAACCGACCGCCGTGTAATCGCGCTCCGGCTACGTACGCCTGCATTTTTCAACGATTTTCATTTTTCCGTGCACTTGCGGTGCATCTATGCACCATAGATTAGGGCTGGATACGTTTTGGGTAAAAAATTCGGAGGTTAAGACTTTGGCGAGTTTATTTCACTGTGAAACGCTTCTAATTCATTCCACAGTCCATTTTGTATTCGCCCAATTACACATGTCTTAACGAAAGTGAAGCTGACACGTTCGAATTCTTGCAATCCGCTTCCCAACCACTCTCATTTTCGCCAGAACGATGTCCAGCTGCATGTAAACAGACATCCATTAGCCCGGGGTTACTGTCTCATGTTCCCGGTTGTACGCATTGAAATCCAGCTCCATGGACCCGGGTATCAGTCGGCAACAAAGCTTTCCACCCTCGTTTACCGAAATAATTAACGTTCGAGGAAAGGTAGAGGTATTAACGGGACGCGAACATTAGGGTTATCTGATCAGCAGATCTTGGGTGGACAAGAGACGGTTTGGCGTTGGGTATTTCCAGCGGTGTCCTAGCCCGTCCACCGCAGCAAAGGGTAGTTTCTTCGTGGCAGGAGGGGGTGGACGGTATACCTGGATATCATAGGCGAACGTTTGACACGTGATGACAGCTCATGGCGCCACCAACCCCCTGCAGTTCCACTCTCCGCAGGGGTTCTACCTCGGCCCCAAGGATTCTTTTGTTTCAGGCTCATTAACGTGTTGCCAAACCCTCGTCGTTCTACCTTCGGGGAGCGTCCTGGTCCGTCAACGACCTGGTCGAGAGCCATGCGTCACGACTGCACCCTGCTGCACGTTTCTAACGGTCGAGGGGATTGAGTAACCGAGTGGTACGTTCGTGGAGGATACATTTTTTCCACAAGAAATTCCATAAAATCGTAGAGGAATGCAAACAACGAGGAACGATGAACGTCGCGTCGCGTCGATTGATCGGTGGGTTCTGTTATTGGCTCTCCCCTTGCCTCGGATAGGGTTTGCTTATCTTTGTCCCGACGAGTTAGTTTTACGTTTCACGTTGCACAGCAGGAGCCAGTGGCGAGGTTTCGCTCGAGGCGAGGTACAAGGTAGATCGTGTTGGAGGAAATTAGTGAGCTGGTACAGCGAGAGGATCAACGATTTAGCCGAGTTCAAGTGATAAGGTGGTTATCTTGATCTTACAGAGAGAAGATAATACCTGGACAAATGCTACAGGTTCCCTAATTTCTGTCGTTCAATTTTAACGAGCCCGGAGATAAAGACGGTTCCGAATCATCGATCGGACACTAAGAAGCGCGCGAGAAGGTGGCGCGATCGCTCAACCTCCAGTCCGAGTTTAATCGTTTTTTCTTTGGTCGGTTGCTTTAAAGAATCGCAGCTCTCCGTGTAGCCGCGTTTCGTCGGACAATTCACGAGACGCTGCGGTGTTGTTTCTTGCCCGACAGAAGGAGCCGCGACCGGCCTCTCATCAGCTCGCCAGGCTCGGCTCATCAGCGTAACTTCGACTGTCAGCGGGGACAAGCGGCCGGTTGAAGTGTTTATCGGCGATGCTTGCCGACCGTACAGTCCGACGTTACAAGCGCCGGTTCGTGTCCGTCGTGTCGTACCGGCAAATCACCGAATCGACCGCAGGACGCTGTGGAATCCGCAGCATTCGGCAGCGGGACTCTGGCATCGGGGGATCGCCGCGACTACCGGCCGTTGAAAAGACTGGAATTGCGGTCGTGGCGTGCCCCAGACCGGGCCAACCTGCGGTTCCCATCGATCTCCTCCTCTCGCTATTCCACGTCCTATCGAGATCCGCCGAACCGTTTGATCGTCGACGACGGTCCTCGATGAACGGTGAACAGCAACGAATCTTCCTCTTCTTCCTCCGCTTCCGTGTCACCGTTTCCAAGGAAGATTTTACTCTGCCTTAAATGCTAGAGATTCTGAAGGTTTGCTACGAGGAATGTTGAAGATACCCAAAAGCCTCGAAGAGGATGAACGTTGATCGCGTATCTACCACCTGTTCAGTATCAGAAATCATCCTTATCAGCTTCTCTCCCAAGTAGCTGATCATTCTCAGCTGCTTGTATCCAGCAGCACACCTAACAGAGCAATCGAACAGCAAGGACGGACCATCCCACGACGAAGAACACGGTCCCGGAACCTATTGCCGCGAAAGCTATTGACGTGGATCTCGATCCGGGGAATGGAAAAGCAGCCCGCTCCTTTAGGTGGTCCAATAATAAGACAATAAGTTAGGCGTACCGGGCTGCTCGAGAGCCGGTTGATATCAGTGTGGGATCGAAATGCGGCATAGAAGAGACGCGTATGCGCTAGGGAGCGAGGAAGCAAGCAAGCAATATGTTGGTTAGGAAGAGGAAGAGAGAGGAGGGAGGGAGCCGATCGGAACCCATGCCGGACGAAAGCAAGTGGTATGCCCGGAGTGGCGCCAGAAGTCTTTCCTCGTCCTTCTAGCTCCCTTGCTCGGTCCATAGTCATCTTCGTCGCACCCTGGGCCATTATCCTCCAGCCGGAGGACCGCTATCTCCCTTGGCGTCCCTCTCGAAACGGCGTCGATCCAATTCTCTCCGCGCAGCCTGCCGGCAGGAACTGTGGCTTTCGACCACGGGGGAACAGAAATTAATAATCTCTCGGCGAAGAGGCGCGCTTCATTCTCTCGTTCTCTTCGTCCCTTTCTATCCTGTTATGTCTAACTGGTTGCATTCCACTCGTTAAGCAAGGGAATCCGCGTGAACGGCGTTGTGGATTCCGATTCTTATGTAGTCGGCGTCAGTTCCCATCAAGACTGACTAATTAAAGGGGACTCGTCGTGAAAGGAGGCTCGACGAGCCGGACTTTCGACTTGTGTATTAATGGGATACCGATGTCACGATCTTTATGACCCGGACGATCTATCGAACGGCTCTTTATGCATAAATAACATCGACCACTCGTTTATTCCTACAACCTGCACCAATTGACCCTCGTCATCCCTCTACCGCGTCAGCTTTTCGCGCGATTTTCTCGCGTTCCTGGACGCCCGATTGACCCGTCGACGCCCCCATTTTACTTCAAAAGTCTTTTGATTCATCCTCTACCTTAGATCGGTACCCAAGTCTCTCGTGACTCATAGTATATTTTACATCATTTTTCTCTGCCTGTAATGACACCAATTTCCAGAAGGTCATCACAGTTCACACGATGTTCCATGTAACCGATTCTATAAACGTACGCTCGGTACCATCTTCGGTAGCCGGCAACAAGCAGGTCACCCGTCCCACCCAGCCAAGCGGCGGACCCTCTCGGCGAGCACTTCCTACGCCGGGGAATCACGGAGCGTCGTAAAGCAATTAACAGTTATGGTAATAATCGCTAACGATCCCCGGGGACGGAGTGTCCCCGGCGCGGAGGTACAGAAAAAAGGAGGAACGGAATCGGTGAGGAGATGGAGGCCGAAAAAGGAGTGGCCTGACTGCCGGGGCTAGGCAGAAGGGCGGCGGCGGCGGCGGCGGCGGCGTCTAGCAAGATGGAAGGGAAGAGCGATCGAGCGAGGATTATACGACTGGACATTTCGGGCATTTTTACGAAAGGGACGCGCAGGAACGCGTGTTCTATTAGCTAAGACAAAAGAGCGGCGCCTAGACTGAGGGCGAAGGGAGACGGGATCCCGAAACTGTCCGACAGCGTTTATTTATGCGGCAAACCGCGGAAAAAGATGTAAGTCCTCGGGGGCCTGGTGCATTCCTGCGCCAGGTCCAGCACGCCCGACAGGGATATTATCTAGCAGGATATAATCGACGTGTCCTCCGACTCGTAAGGACATATTTTTACCGAACCGACCTGAACCGACTCGAGTGGCACACCTGGGCCACTTTGCACTCTCTGTCATCGTGTCCATGGTATGATTCATTTATAAATCATTACTTTCTCTATCTATTATTAATTCCTTAATTATTTCGCGATGGAAAGAAAGGAAAGCGTGAAGAATGAAACCGATACCGATTTCTTCCTTTATAGAAATTGAAATCATTTTATGTTTAGACTAAACTAGGGGTAGGTTCACCCTAAATCGTATTTAAATCTCTATTTTAAAAGGTTGAATTTAGGTTTCTATGGCCTCTCGATGAATTGATAATCCAGAGGGAGGGTCTCAGAGTAAATAAACACAGGAGGGGTGGAAAAAGGGTAAAATAGATTTATCTTATCTTTCATTTAATGAACTATCCAGGTTTGATTTAAATCGATATTTATTGCACGTTTCTTGGAATTTAACTGACCGTTTGCAAGAACAACATGGTGGGACGGCTTTCCAGCACGATCACGGTCGTTTTCTTTGATTTAATCTCGCGCAATGTCGCGAACGAGAGACCGGCCACGCGCAATAAGCGATGCACTCTCGCGCAACTTTATCGTAATCCATGCAAATTTATTCCGTTCGTCTCAAAGGACTTTGTTCCGGGGCCGATCCTCGATATTCCTCCCCTCCCCCGCTCGGAAGAAAGTAGAGATCTTGCAGTCGAGTTTTTAATGAATAAAACAAACCGACTCGCTCGTGCAAATTCACTACTTTTATGCTCGGAGAGAGGAGGAAAAAAAGAACAGGACACGTCAGACGTCGCGTCATTGATTTTATTAATGAAAATAGGATACATTGTATTTTAAACGTTACTTTCAGAATATCTTCCACTATGAATTTTAATTAAGCTTAGACTAACAATGAGCGCAAGTTTTGGAAAAGGATGGAAAAGGGGTGGCTATCATGAAATGATCTTCGATATATGAAGTAAAGCTGGCCGAGCATCGTGGTCTGGCTATTAATGAACGTAGCGTTTCGAAGCGAGCACCGTAAACGTTTCCAAGCGAAGTCCTATGGATATTTGCGTGCCGTCTCGTGGAAAGGACGATAATTATGGGTGGCGCGAAAGCACGTAACGTTCGTGTTACCGTAAATTGTTGGTCGAACACGGCATTGTGCTTCTGGAAATCGGTGATTAAAAAAAATGAGAACGGGGAGAGTGTTTTCCCTTCGTTGCCTCATTTTCAGGGAACAATGGATGGAAAGATTTTCCAGAAGAAATGAAAATCTTGTAAAGGACCATTGCAACGGTATCTTGTCTTACACCCTTCGATGATAATAAATATGTTTACTCGTACGGTATCGGTGGTACCGATGATGTATTCATGCCAGAAGCAAAGATAACTAAGAACGGATAACTCGTGCGATAAATTCAATCGTAAAACAAGGATAACTCCACGTAGCGAAAGATGGACTCGGTATTTCAGTCGCGTTGATGATTAATCGAACGTAGCCGGGATCCGTGACACAATCAATTCGCGAAACGCTCACGGACGTGATGCTGCAACGCCGACAGCGTGACTCGATGCGTCGCGTCGTGTCGCATCGCACGCGCTCCACGCATACACATGCAACGTTCGCATTATGCATTATTCCCGGCTGGATTACAATGACAATGACCGCAATAACGATCGAGACGGATCGGAAGAGAGGCGAGAAGGGGACGACGGGACAGCCGACAGCTCGGAAAATTGCTAACAAATAATGCAGCCGGCAGCCGAAGGGGGAGACGAGAACGATACCGGGGTGGATCCGTCTTCGAACGACCCCATGTTACGAAATCAAGCCGGTGTGCATCCTTTCGCGTATAATCGCCCGTGAGACACCCTTTCTCGGACGTGACCCACTGTTCGAGAAAAATTGCGCGATCGCCACCGGCCTTCGGATCATCCTAAACAACAATGAGAACTTGCTGTCGAAACAGGAGTAAAGGGATACTTTGATTCTTTGATTCAAAGAAATAAAAATTGTATGTATATCGAAAGACTTCCATAGATTTTTCTCTGATTTATAATTAATTATACGTGAAGGATAAGACACCTAAGGCTAGAAACAAGGAACAGTGATCCAAGGCTGAAGGTTTTCCATCGGATCATTAAACATTGACCAGTGACGAGCAAAGAAGAAGCAATCTCCCCGAGGAGAATCTATTATCCCATTTTTTTCACTTACGTCCTCTTTCCAGCCGGTGAAAAAGCAACCGCACCCTTCGACCTAACGCAAAGCTCACCCTCTAACGAAGTCTCCGTTGGTATATCGATGCTCCGAGAGTAGATAGAGGAAAGACTGTAAAATTCAGGAAGGAACATTAGGGAAAAGGGGTGGTATCATCGGTTCGTTGATCACCCCTTGGGTGCTGGTTTGAATTAGGGCCGGGGCAGCGGGGTGAGCCGTGTTTATTGACACAGGAAGTGATTGCTGCGCCTATGGATCGAGGGAGACCGGTTCACGGAAGACACTGATCGCGCTGCGCTAGAGGAGAGGGGCGGAGGGTGAGAAAGGGAGGAGCCGGTCCCTTCGGTTGACGTATTTGCACCGTAATCCCATGATAAATCGTTGCAAGGGCCCTGGGATAAGCTCTATTAATTTTGCGTTATAAAGTCGAGTGGCCGCGTTCACCTGCGTCGAACTTACGTTATGGAGACGTAAAAGATTTTTAAAAGGCTAACGTATTTACTAGCAATTCCCCCTCGGATGTACCCGTGTTTCCACGTTTACGGTGCTGTTAAAATTTAACCCTCTCGTAACATTACCGAGTTTTATTTCTGGCTGTATTTTTCACGTTACGGTTTGCCTCGAGTGGATCCACAGAATTATTTGATACATTCGATAAGGGTAGGAAATAAATTTTTCAATTTTCTTTAGAATTATTTTTGAATTCTGAAATGAAGTCCAATCAAATAAAAAGAAAGATTCTCTGAACCCGTTCCACAGAAGACGTCCCTATCAACGATCAGCCCTGGTGCGAATGACAAATGCCCTTAGAACCGCAAACGTCTTCTTCCCATCAATCTGACGGTTGAACGTTTCGCGTAGAGCGTTCTTATCTCGTCCAGGCTTGATAAATTAATCGACATTAAGGGACATAACGCCAGCAACGTCAGCTAGATTCGAATCGAGCCGATTGCTTGGACCCCGAATCTTCTCTGGACCCAAGTTTCTTTCACGATAGCTCATCTAGGTGCGGTGAGATCATCAATAACCTATCTACCGGAATATCTAGGCGTACCAGGAATCACTCCAGAGTTCCTGGATCATTTTTATTTATATAAGACCTAGATTCCCAAGCTGGCTTCTGACCCCCAAGGGAGGTCCTCGGGAATATTTTTCACCGCAATTAACACACCTCGAATATTTCAATTGTTTTTCATACACAATAAAGACGAAACCCCGTATGTAGGCTCTCGAACCGACGCGACAGGTACATAAAGATATACAAGTGCAGACGTTGCTCGCCGCAATTCGGTCGATCCTCGACGTGTAATCACGTATGCAAATGGGGCCACAGGGAGGTTGTGTGCGTGCCTGCCGGGACGGGACGGGACGTTGGAGTAAATGCGTAACTGTCGATATCGCGGCCGTTTCGCACGCTGACAGGACAATGTGCACGCGCGACCGCCCGCGAGCTGGTAATTTGTACCGTAAGCGGGGGAAACGTCCGGTTATGCTCGCAGCTATCAACCGTGGCTGTTACGAGCAGCGATAAGTGTATTTTCGTTTCTACTTCCTAAATTACTAGCTAATATTTATCACTGTAATTTTCGAAAAATGTCTGACGCAAATGAAAGTTGAACAATTTCGAAGTACACAGATAATTTCTTATTTGTTCAAAAGTTTCTCCTCGAACCTTGAGCTTCGCACGGTGGTAAACGCGTTGAATCGAATTCTCTAGATAGGAAGAGGGGTAGTTCTAACCGTGGATCTGTCTCGCAGACATAAATCAACAACTGCTAACCTCGTCCTGGGAGAGAACTGTTACGTTTCCACGGACAGATAGAGCCGACGCTTTATTATACCGGACACAATTGCGTGTTGCTCGAGCGCCACGTGACCGGCGACTTCCGGCCGTAGTTTGGGTTCCGCTCGCTGACGCTTCCTCCCGATTCCCCTTCGATCGGTTTTTCCTTCTACGCAACGGGTGACGATGATCGCGTGTCAGGTCCACGATGATGCTGAATGCCCGACACGCGTACCTCTTCCTGCCCGCGTCTCTCGTCGTCGCGCGGATTGTCACAACACGAATCGGGGTGGCAGAGGATTTCAGACAGGGTGAGAAGCAAAAATGTATTTTCAAAGAATGCAAAGCAAAATTCGATGGTAGAAGATATGGAAAATTGATTTTTTGCAATTGCTGTTTAAAGGGATTTTTGGGGGAAAATTTATAAAATTTCCTAAAAAGGGTTGTTAATCAGAATGTCTAAAAGGAAAAAAATTCAGCCAGGCTCAATGAATTCAGGAAAAAAGGAGATCTAGATAGCCCGCAGGGGAGAAAATCAGTGTAATAGAGAGATCAGGGGGGAGAGTGGTGTGTCGAACCGATCGGTCATGGTGTTCTTATGTTAATACCGCGACGGTTCTGCTTTGCTTTTCTATTCGAGCATCCCTGTACCCGCACCAGCGTGGCGAATCCTCGAGTTTATCGCGGGGGTGTGTAGCCACTGTAACCACTAAAACCATCGTCCGACTCGGGGTAGATGGTGGCGAGGGGAATAGAGCCTAGGACGTCAGTGAAATTTAGTGTTACGTTGTGGGAATGAGAAAATCGATAGAACAGAGATCAGACCTTGGTTAAACGCGTCGGAATCGAACAAACAGATATAAAAGAAAATTTTAATGATTCCTTGGATGAAAATTTTGTAATTAATAACACAGAAAATCATCATCAAAAATAAGAAGACACAAAATAAAATTATAAAGAATTTATATTCTATAAAGTTTCTAACTATCAAAGGGTGTCACTTGGCTTTTCTAAAATCGAAGATAGAAAATTCTTAGATTGAACGGATGAATAACCTAGTAATTACTAGCGGCAACACGTTCCCGCGCACTGATAGAAGCAGCGGTGCACCGAATTCAACGCCTCATCCATCAGCAACGGTCAGCCATTAACCCCAGTAGGGCTCGCCTAACAGGACCCTGTCGGTCGAGCAGCTCGAATTATTAATCGCGTTTCAAGTCCGAATCAATCAAGCAACCGACGCGCGAGAGGTTCGATAACAGCGGCGAAGACCACCCTCAAAGACCGAACCGAAAGGATAGATCCACGCCGTTGAAGCCGGTAGTTTCCGCGATTGTGAGAAACCATCTTAACCTGTGAGCCTAACAGCGAGAGAGAGAAAGAGAGGAGTGTAGAATTTCTCTCTTTTCGACCTGGGCAGAAGGGAGAAGGCTGTTATATCCCGCGGTGGTTGACTCCGGCACGGTGGTCCAGGTCAACAATTCATAATCGTGGCTGCGACCGAGTAACGAGGAAAGGTTCAGCGCCTTATCCGAGGTTCTTGCATACAAGGTGGCTTTCTTCGTTCATCTCGCCGCTTCTTCTTATTCTTCGTCCCCTGATAAGATTGGCAGGTATGGTTTCGAAGACGCTTTTCAAGAAAACTGAAGTTGTGTCATAGACGATAATAAATTAGCTTCGATTGCTGGTACTAAAGCTTTCACCCTGAAGAAAATACACGATTTACAAAGTGACACATTTTAACCTACCCGTGCAATTATTTGATATTTTCATTCAAAGAGCTCATTTTCTTTCAAGGAGAATATGTTCTTGGTGTAGGAAGGAAAGTTCGAAAGTTCTTCAAGGTTATCTCAGGTATCGAACCGGTGAATAAAAAGGAAAGAGTCACCCTGTACAGACGGAAAAGGAGGAACCGGAGTGAAGGGGTGTGGGGTCATGAGCGAGAACAAGAGCAAGAACAAGAGAAGCAGGTAGGTCGTAACGTGGCGCACGGAGCGTCTGGGGCCCACGCTCTGCCGCGCCACGACAAGGTGGTCCCGGGGCTCCAATGGGGCCCGACTCGCGAACCTGGGGCCCCGCACGAATGCCCTCGATTTATGAAGCACGAATTAAATACTATGATCCTAGTCGCCCGCTGCTGTCCGTGCTACGGACCCCTGGTCACCATCAACTCCATAGAAATTGAATTCCATCGAGGACATCCTGGCTACCGATCAGGAACCATTGATTGATAGAATCGGGACAACTAAAGGCGAGTTTCAAACGGGCCTTTTATGTATCACAACCTATTCCTTGGCGATTTTTAACCGACTAATTGGTGGTGCTTTTAATTATAAGAACTGGTTCGACCGGGTCCAATTATCTATGGATTTTCTAATGAAATTCTTATCATTTCTTAGTGAAAGCCTTTGGGATCGAAGATATAATGTTTTATATAAAGAAAATTTTACTAAGGAACCCAGCTGGTCAATCTGCACCTCGACCAGTGATCCTCTAACAATAGGAGCAATCAATTAACAGGAACTGGAGAGGATCAGCTGTGCCAGGTCCGTGGAATGATGTGGCAGCAGGAGAAACGAGCCGAGGCTGGTTCATTACACATGCACGCTCCTAAAACCAATTCTAGCTGTGGTCCGGTGCGCGAGGGCTAACGAGACGTCTATATTATTATGCCGTCGGAAGAGCGGCGCGACGTGGGTCCCAAAACGGGCAGGCTTGCGTCGGATATTAGCCGCGGGGCCCCCTCTCGTGAGGATAGAGAGACGAGGAGAACCATTCGGAGCCGGGGACCACCGTGAAAGAAGGGAGTACTCTCTGGACCAGCAGCTCCTCCTCGCTTCTTTCTCTCTTCCTTTCTCCATCTTTTTTTTCCCTCACTCCGCCTCGACGTCCGCTCGAACAGTTCCAAGCGGACGCGAGTTTCCTCGGCTTTACAGCCTGCTGCCTGCTAATAACCGCGAACACGTAATTTCCTACAGCGCCTGCCGTACGCATTATCCTCCACTCTTTTTGCTGCCTTTCTAACCAACCGGAATTTATCGCGAGCAAACGTCAGTTCGATCACCACCCCGACGATCCTCGGACACCACCTTGGAAAATCACCGATTTCGAACGAACCGCGAGGAAAAGAGTTCCAAGAATTTCATTCTGATCATCTATTATAAATATTTAGACGAAAGGTATCAAGTTCAGAGGATGATCAACATCGTTCTACTGTTTTAGACACGCCTGTCGATACATGGTTGCATGCAGCGAATCAGATGCACAATGTAGATCGAGATTCTGCCAGGAGGGAACAGGTTTGATACAACGAGCCTGCCCAAGTCGACGATTGCACCTGCTTGGCAGGTGTTCCCGAGCTGTTCGCGACGATTATTAACCGTCTAATCATGGTTCTAATCGTTAGACTTGTTCAACGGGAGCCTTTCCTCTTCCTTCGTACAACGTGCCAATCAATTCAATTGTTAGACGATAGAATTTCTATCGGTATAACATGGTTGATCCTCTGATCTTCCACCATCTTGGTGAGAAATTGGGACCTCCATGAAGAAGTTTGATAGCACGTTGTTCAGGAGAGAAAGAAATGGCCAATGGACAAGGTGGTCGGGCATAAATTTACGCCAAGGGTCGAGGAGGATCAGACGGGCAGAAAATTCGACGAGCATCATCCTTGGAAACGCTGATGAACGCGGATGGCGCTGGGCAAAAAGCGGCAAAGAAGTTTATGTCCCCCGTGGAGGGACGTGTCGGCGTGACTCTCTTCTGGTGGGTAATTAAAAGACGCAATTGTCACGTTAAGGAATTAATGTCCGCCGCGGTGGCGAGGACGTATTTATTAGCCGGGTCCGCGAATCGACGCCGCATAGGGGGCGCTGCACGATTCGAAATGGAATTCCTTCGTTCGACTGGTCCCCGGGTCAACTGAGACCCTTTCGACAGTCGACAATGGCTCGTGTGTGTGTGTGTACGTGCGTGCCGGTTGTCTTATGTTTTAATTGTTCTCCGCCGCCGCGTAAATCCTAATTAAGACTGAATTATTTGGCCCGCGTAGCGACGTAAGAAACCGCCGATTCGATCGCGAGAATTCCGCTTCCAAGGACGATCCGTTCGATCGGACCTGGTCGCAGGGTGCTGCCTCGAGGACCCCCCTGCACGTCCTCGCCATTGCTGCTTCGTGTTCGACGTCCTTTTTGCCTTCGGCTCCGACGCGATCCGCTTTGTCGCGGACCGACCGCTGGGAATCGCCCGGCACCCAAGTGTCGATTTTCTTCGAACCGCAGGGAAAATAAAATATCAATCATTGTTGCAGTTTCTTTTTAAATACAATGGTCGAAGCGAATAAGACGCTGAAAAGACAACTATTTTTTAAATTTTCGTGATTTAGTTCACCCTGTAATATAATTTCTCAGGGGTTTCCCATAAATATAAGGGACACGGGAATGCGAGGGAAGAGAGCAGAAGTATCCAGGGACAAAACCGAAAAAAGGAGAAGTCCATTTGACAAATTAGTACTAGCCAGCTTCAGGTAATTTCCTGGGAACTTTTAGTGCTCGTTCTTCTTTCTAAACCGCCCTTCTCAATTTCCTGGCTCGCGTATGCAGCCGAGTCGCCAGTATCTTCTGCAAATGTGCTTTGGAATTCCTTGCTCGTTGCATCTCCTCGCGACGGAATTCTCGTCCGCAGACGGGCATTAAATGGTCGCGCGTGTGCGCAGCGTGAAATTTCACCCTCTCGCTGCGCCTGGAAAATTCTCCGCTCACCTACCCCCCGTACGTTCTCTCGCTGAAGAATGATGGATCACGTTGTGGCGTGCAAGAAACCTCGTGCAACGTAACAGGGAAATTTTGTTGCAGGAAGCGAAGACTCTTTTTGTACTTCCTTTACTCGAGGCAAATGACGAGGAAGGTTTATTGAAGGGTGCATGCAACGTTCAAGAGTTTCCAGGTTATACGGCTCTTTTGTTCGAAGAAAACGTAGCTCGATGATCGTTTCTCTCTTGGAAAATTTAATTTTTCACAGAGAATACTGCGCGATAAATTAAACTGAACTAAAACTTGGATATTCTTTTTCTGAAACTTAGGTAGGAATTTATAGGACACTTTTTTGAACATAATGGAAGCCAATCGAACGGTTCGATAATTGGAACATCGGTTGTTCGATGATGCAGAGCGGAAGGGTGAGTTTGGAATCGATTGAAACGCAGGAAACTCGAGGCGCCTTTAACAAGGATACCGTTTAAGCTCGGCCCAGGATCAGGATGACTCTGCATTATCGCTGATTCCGGAGCAAGCCACGGGATTTTCATGTCCGGGCTGGGAAGCCAGCGTCGCCATCAGCATCGCAGAGAACCCACGGCTCGACTTAGCATAGATTAAAGTTGCGCACACACCGGCAATCTTGCGGATGTTTGCGAACCAACAGGGGTGGATGGGACCAGGACACGGTTTAGATAAAAATCGGGACGATAGATCCTCCACCTTTACGAGGTAAGCGACTGCGGCTAAATTTGAAAATTCTGCTGAATGAGTAAACGGTGTAGAAAAAGAGTAAATTTGGGATATTGGAATGAAAACAGGTTTTCTTATTTTACCATTGTTTAATTTCATAATTTTCTATTTACAATTCTCTATTTTCATCGCTGATAAAAGATTGTTTTTCTGAATAAAACTGCTAAGCTCGAGCACTCGAACAACGGATGAAACAAAATTCAGTTGAATCTCAGGGATTAGACTTTTGAGAAACACTGGTTCAGCTTCATCCCCGGGTGGACCGTGAAATACCATAAAATTAAACAGACGTAAATCCTCTCGAGGATGCTGGCCCGGCGCCAAAATTCACCGCCACCGTCGTTGGCGACGCTGTGCCACCCGCGAACAATGTAAAAGGGAGCCACGGAATTGGCTGTGAATTTTCAAACACCATCTTCAATCCCGCCTTAATACACTTACCACCTAACTCGACCCGTTGGTGATTGCAAGGGGTGGGTGGTTGTTCATTCCTGCAGTCGTTATCAACTCTTTTCGAATATTAATCCACAAAGTAATTTCAAGGGAATGAAATATCTTTTTTTTTTGATTTCAGCATCAAGTTCGATGAAGTTGAATCTTCAGAGGTGCAAACAGCGAGGAACGTCGGTTAACGAGGTAACAATTCAACGGCAATTAACCCGCATGACCGATCCCGGTGGCAACGCCAGCTCTCGCGTAATAAACACGCATTAATCAAAAGCAGCCAAGCCTTTTCCATAAATTTCCAGCGGCAATAACCACAGGATTGCGGCCAGGTGTTACGCCAACGCGTCGGTCCAGGCCACTTCCTCGGAAAGATCCTGGCTAATTGCGGCATCACTCATATCCTTTTTGCCTCGCAGGACGCTTATCACCACGCCAGCTTCCTTTCCAGGTATGTGCTACTAACTGAGAAATCTTGCTTGCTTGATGAGAAATATATTCCTTTATTTCCTTTTATTAAAATATTCGTTACTTTGAAAAATTATCCCCTGAACGACTAACTGGATGAATTATGACTTTTACATTTTATTTTGAATTTAATTTTAATGTCGTTTATCTAATGGATATAGTATTACTAACACTGTTAACCCCAAAAATGTCCTTCTGTATCACCCTCGCGACACACCCCCTTCGTTCAGTTCGCTGCTAATAAAATAGCCGCAATTGCACCCTAGCCGAAACTACCCCTATCGTTGCAACGAGCGAAACAGTCTCATCGAACAGTATCTAATATCCGATGCATTCTGTTAGTATCACACACAAGCACACCCAGAGATTGGGGGGTGAACAGGCACGAAAATAGCAACACTCGGCCGCTCGTAAAGTCACAGGATCGCGGTACCACCCCTTGGGGACAAGTAACGAAATTAAATTCAAATATAATCAAATAAAATTTAAATTTTAAATCCGTCTTGGCTCGTTCCTGTATATATATGTATATGTATCCGTGGCACGCGAAATTTACTGGTCCCGCCAGTGTCTCCTTCTTTCCATCCCCTTCTACCGTTTTCCGTCGCTCTCCACCCACTGAATTCGAGCCGAGATTTAACGGGTCAAACCGGGGCCAGGATCGACCGACCGGGGGTTAACTGGAAACGAGAGAGGGTGCTTGATTGAGAACACTGTTTTGTTTGTTCGTCCAACACCGTTCTCGAGACTGCACAGAGTGGGGGTGGACACGAGTGGATTAGTCAACGAGCCAATCTTCATCCCCTGAGAATATTCTTTTTCTTCCTTCCGAGGCAGGAGTATCGTATCGATGAACGAAGGGGTGTTTTCGTAGGTATTTTTTACAAAATCAAATTCTCACCCTTGATACTGATAATTACCATTCGTTTTCGCATCGAGCGCTAAGGAATCGAACGGTATTCACCCCCATGGAATATCTCGGTGTCCACCGAAGGGTTGCTAGAAAGGGGCGAACAAATTGAAATCTGTATCTCTAATCCGATCCACTTTGTCTCGAAATAAGACCAGCCAACCCCCTCGTTTTAAACCGACGACCGCCGGTTCGAGCTTTTACCTATGTTCGCGTTTACGTCGCGCCACCCCCTTTAACCACCCTACGGATCGCGTTCGTGTGAAGTTGGTGTGCCGGTGTAACTTACGTAAAAGGGGGTGGCTGAGGGATGCGCGGGCAAAGTAAAGCCCGTAAACAGGCAGCTCGGTTGCCGGAGCCAGGCCGGGTTCAACGACGGAGCCAGTTTCATCCCCTTTCGCGTTCCGCGGTGTCATCGTCAGAGGGCACTGTGGTTGACACAGAATGACACCCACCTCCATCCACCCGGACCAACCCCCGCCAGCGAAATAGTCGTCACTGGCAGGGCTGAACACGTACGGAAAATCGTCGAGGAGAATCGGCTCCTCGCTTCGGGGCTTGATTGCCTCCGGATGGTAATGAGGGTGAACCGACACTTTCGAAGCCGAGGAACCGTGATCTCTAGCGGTGTTCCGGATGATTGGATTTGCTTCTTTTCAAAGAACAGGGAATTGATTTATTTTCTATCTTTTTTATTTTTTAAGAATCCGTTTTTTAAGATATTAGTTATACTGTAGAAAATGAAGGGAAATGAAAGGCTGCGAAGAAAGGTAAAGAAATTTATTGATAAAAAAAAAACAGAATATCGGTGGTACAGAAGAATGTACTCAGTTTGAAACATAAATAACGAGAAAGTAACTACTACGTTTGCGGAGTAGTGGTAGAAAGTTGTCCTCAGAAAAAATGCGGAATCCGTAATCCGTTTTCTAGGAATGCTAGAGACGTTTGCAGATCGTGGCAGGTTTTTGTTATCAGTCGACGTTAATACGATCGAACGTAAACACGGAGATCGTACCTGCCGGGGATTAGGCGGCAGTCGTAGTTTACATCGCGCCACGAATACATCGGACTCGTGTAACTCTCTTACATTCATCGTGTAATTTTTAAACGAATTTCATACTTTTAATGATAATATAAGTGAGATTTTATCGGAAGTGATAAGTGAGTGAAATTCCTGACTTTCAAGAAGACATCCAATCTTCAGTTTGCACCAATTGATGCAGTTTAAGGTAGGATTCCTATTCAAAAAATAGTTTGATATCTTCGAACGTCCAGTTTCACCCTCCAAATATCACCGTTCCAATTTAGAAATAATTTACAACTCGTGAAACGTTCGAAAAATCATGGGAGAAAAATAAAACCGCTCGAAAATACTTTCACCGGAACAATGGTCCCCGGTTTGTCGAACAATGATCAGGGTTGAAGAAGGGGTGGCGTTCGTCGAAAGGGGGTTAAGAACTCGCGGTATCACAAAGGAACGCCGGTGTTCTCGCGATCGTGGCCAAGGATCTCGCCATTTTTAACCGGTCGCACGTATATATCAGGCGAGAGGATGGAAGGAAGGGGGTGGAAAGGAATTACACACACCGTCGTCGACAGGTCGGAAGTCGGACCTCCGTAGTCTGCGCCACTTCCTTTGAACTCTCTTCTCTCCTTTTTTTTTCGGGAACGCAAAAGAGCTAATTAATTTCTCTCTTTCCTTCACCCCTCCCGTGCCACAGCAACCCTCCGCAGACGCGTCTCCGCCGTTTATTTTCGCTGGCGAGCGAAGGGATGAAGATCTGGGGACGAAGGATGGAAGGGATGAGAAGAGAACGGCCTCGTTTCGGACGAAATTCTCAGGCTGGATGGTTTATAGTGAGGGTTGCTTTTTTTTTCGATGGACAGGATTCTTTTTTCAAGGGATTTAGCGATGATAAATTTTGGTACAGATTCGAGAGATTTATAAGATGCATAGGATTGTTTTATTCATTTACTCGATGCGAAGGTGATATTTCAGTGGGTGAATTTGGACGATTTAGAGTTTAAAGATAGTGTTTAAGGAAATTAAGATGAATTAATTAATTTCCTCTCTGATCTGTGATAATGTTTTGTTAAAGAAATTCTATTATTATTTAACATCGATCATCAGATTTATCAAATGAAAATTTTTCAATGCATCTTCTATTGTTTGTTGAATTGCCTTGGAAATACGAAACGCAACAAAGTCGGTGTCGCCAATTGGAAAGGCCGAGACCCGTCTTTAATTAAGTCGCGAGCACCGCTAATGAAGTTACCCTATAATTACTAATTAGTGTGAAAAAATCGCCAGATAACGACGACGGCAGGACTAGTTTTTTGAAGCACTTCGCAAGCCGCCGGCTAACACTGCTCTGCACGTTCGCGCATTCACCGCGTTTTCAGACGAACACACGCGCGTTGCTTTCGCGTCTCATTTTTTTATTTACCACCAAGCTTCTACATCAATTAGTACCTCAATATACGAAGGTATAATTGAAGAATTATTATCAAACTTTTCATTACATTCGATGTACAAAAACTTTGAGACAAATCATACATCGGAAATCTTTTCCAAATTATCGAATACCATTCTAAATATAAACAAAATGATATTTTATTAAGAATATACATATATATTCTGGTTTATAGTTGAAAATTTACCTCGCATCGAGCACGGAAGCATGGGAAAGTTGAACAGGGCATGAAGAGGCTCGCGTTCGCGTTGAAAAGCAAAATCGAAAGGCGACTGCTAACGAGCTGGCTGACGACGTCAAAGGCGTCGACGTTAAATAGCCAGACACTTATTAGTTGCGTCGTTATTGTACTTCCGGTGGCACGTGCGCGCGCGATTCTGTTTCATCCTTTCGAGGATTCAGAGTGGTTGAAGCCAGCGCGATCGCGCAACGTGGAAACTCGCTGCGCGTTGCTCGCAATTATCAGTGTAAAACGCGAGCCGGATAATTGGAACGTTTGCTAATTAGAATATTGCCGCGGCACGGCCACCTGCACACGCCGGTGATCCGCTTTTGAAACGGAACGACATTCCCGTTGTGACAAAACGATCCCCCACCCGTCCCGTTATTAACCCTGGATCTCGACGATCGTTTTCACCGACGGAAAATTTCCAACCCCCGCGCGATCTCGTTCGTTTGAACCCGTCGCGATCTCCAAGATGCGGAGAAATTTTCTTTGAAGTGAAATATAGAATTAGATATCTATCTAGCGACGTTAAATGATTTATGAACGAGAATATGTTATTAGACGATTAGCTGAAAGAAATTAATATGGTTGACAGATTGAGTGTTAGTTTGTCAGGTATTCGTATAATTGTACCATTTGAATAATTCCTTAGTTTTTACTTTATGATCTCGATCGTGTCGATCGATCGGATTAACGATCACGATCGTTGATTACGGCTGACCAGTTTGCAAATGCAATTTTCCGTGCTGTCTACGGCTAAGTAGAGCGTAACAAATATTCGCAACACGCGACAAATATCCAAAACGTTTAACCCGCGCGTTTGACGTAGTGAAATAATTGAAATTCCCTGGAGAAGTTGGAAAACATCGCCTATTTTGCATTACGCGGTATGTAGAACGGGGGCAAATACGTGGGTATGGAAATTAAAGAAAAAATTATTAGCAGAGCGATAGGATGGAGAGGGTTTGATTTTATATTAAACGGAGTTGAAAAGTTTGAGTATTTCAATTCGATTCTTACAAAATTGTATATCTGAGTATAAAATCAAACCTTGATGATTCCACAAAGTTTGAAATATACAAAATAATATTTCTTACTCCAAAGATTTGAAAATCAAACCGTTTTGCTATAAACTTAACGTATGATCCTAGAACTTTTCAAATCGATTTGCGAGCAGTACAGCAGGGTGGAAAGATGTTGAAAAAGACTCGTTCTTGTCGAAGAATCGCGAAAACGGCAGTTCCCTCTGCATTTCGAGGGTGGAGAGTTGGACCGCGCGAGGAGGCGACTCGACGCGCCTCCAGAGGGCTCCAGCTCTCGTCGCGAAGGGGCACGAAGAGAAAAAAAAAAAAAAAAAGAAAAAGAAATGCCAA